TCACACACAGTCTCGCTTATTCCCATGAGATTGGTAAACGTTTTTATTATTATTTAAGTTTTTACTTTGTAGATGGCATAAGTATCATTTAAAATATTTTTTGCATAAAAAATATTTTTATATTCTTTTTATAACTTTTTCAATTTTTGAATAATAAAATATTTCAAATATTTTAAAGAGTTTTTCAGAAGAATGAGAATGCTAAAGAGTAATAAAATAAAAAAAAAATGTTTTTTATAAAAAAAAAATTTCAGAATAAAATAAAAAGGATCACTTGTCCGTACACTTTATAAATATCAATTTATTTATACCATAGAGTAATTAATATTAGAGAACAACAAATTTTCTTATATATTTGTAATTTCAAATATTGGGAAAAATATGAATTAAAAGTATCGTAATGTCGACTTTCTTGGTTTTATTAAATATGATATGAGTGGCATACTTATGAAAACAAATTTTTTAATTCGAACAACTTCTGCCAGCGATTAAATCGAGCAGTAAGAAGAAGCAAAGCGAATTGGGTAAACAGAAAATAGAAATATCAATTTAAATAAAATCAAAAATATTTTAAACATTTTACGTCTAAAATGTGAGTGTTTAAAGAAAGTGGATCTTGGGAAAAAACAATTTAGAGATATTGTCATGGACTTGATTTAGAAACACCAGAACGCAGCACAAGCGTACCTTATAACTTCAGACTATAACACAACTACTCACATATTTTTATTTTCTAATGCAGGAATACTTAGATTTTGTAATAAAAATTTTTTTTTTGTAATTAGAGAAAAATTGTCCTATTTCTTACATAAGAAATGTGTTCTCTTGCATTGTATTATTTTACTCTATGGTATTTACTAATTTGGTATATAAAAAAATTTTCATTTTTACTTTGTGTTTTATGCCTTTAAAATAGCCAATAAAACTGAAGATTAAAGTAACAAGCAATGAGCATTTTTATTAAAATGCAAATAAAGAAAGGTTTTTCGATTAAAAAATAAGAAAAAAAAATTATAAAAGAAATAAAGAATTTAAAAGAAATGGGAAAAGTGAAATATGAAGAAAATTGTAAAATAAAATTCAATGGAATTGCTGGTTGAAAAAATATTCAGGAAAGAGTATTTTTCACAAAGAAGCCAGCGATCCCATAAACGTCGAAAATGTTAAAATCGAATGTTAAAGACGAGAAAAATCATAGTTGCGTTCTTGTTTCCTCTCCTCTTTGACATTATTGCTTTGATTTTTCCCCTTCTATTAATTTTTTAAACCTGTTACGTTTCTCAATTTTCTCAATGGGAGAAACACGACGTAACCTTGTCACAAAAACTTTAAATCATATTTTTATTGTTAGCGCTAGCGGTATCTGGTTGCAAAAAATATTAATAATAGTAGAAAATAAATATTCACATACATATATACATACATATTATACGTATATAAATATCAAAAATATTTTTGAGTTCCTTGTATTCCCAAGTAATTTTAGCGATTTCAACTGAATTTAAGAAAAAACGAATGATGCAAGTAGCTAAATCTTTTATTACCGACCGTATTGTGTATACAATAGGTAGGTTATGTGATGGCAACAAATTTTGCATATCGAGTTTTCGGTGGGAATGCACTTCTCCATAGTAGGGAAGTGTAAATAAACTATTTTTAGCAACCTGTCGGTCTGTCGGTCTGTCGGTCTGTCGGTCTGTCGGTCTGTCGGTCTGTGTGTGCACGCATGTATCTCAAGTTCTACTGAACCGATTTTTATGAAATTTTATATGTAAGTTTATTTCCACCATGGCACGGATCGATCAACTTTTGGGATATATCAGGCCTCGGGAGCTGCACTTTTTAGCGGGCCGGTTTTACATTTTTCACCATTTTAAAGAAACTATTCAACCGATTTGCTTGAAATTTCATATATAAGCTTCGCTTGACCGGTCGGGAAAATTCCTATGTTTTGGAAGAAATCAGGCATCGGCAACTGGACGTTTACTACGGGCCAAATATACATTTTTGTGTATATAAAGAGAAATAATCAACCGATTTCATTGAAATTTAATATATGAATTCCTCGTATTAAAATAATGAACATATAAATTTTTTGGAAAGATCAGGGCTCGAAAGCTGATCTGCGGGCCGATTTTACATTTTTCACTATATCTACGGAACTAATTGATAGAATTTCTTGAAATTTGATATTTGAGTTCTGGTTGTTACCGAAACTAACTGACGAGCATTTCAGGGAATTCGGGTGGCACAAAGCGAAACTCTACTAAGAGCCAAATTTACATTTTTATAGGTATGTTAACTATAAGCTTATTAATGTCCTAAAAATTGGAAAGAGGTAATTAACAGGCATTTTTATAATATTCTGTAACACTTTCACTTAACTAGACAATGCACAATGCGGTCGGTTATGTGCTGACCACATCAGATTTTTTGGAAATAGAACTATAAAAGATTCAAAATCTCATAAATTTTCATATTAAATATTGAAATATGACGAAATATTTCATGCGATTAAAATATTTACTTATAAATTTTCAATCACCATGGTAAAATCACTTTGGCAAATTTTCAATTACGAAATGTAATTGTACACGTTGTGCTATTTAAATATTTTAATACCACAAATCTAATAAAAAATTTAATTTTGATTTTAAGATACTTTTCCTAGATTATCACTTTAGATGTTTAAAAATTGTGGAAATTTTTAATTTCTTTACAGAGTTTAAATTGGATTTATTCCGACTTTTTTCTTGCTTTCTTCTAATACTATAAAAAATTTTAACTACAAAAGAGAATTTTGAAAAAAAATTTCATTATAAAATTTAAAGTATTTAAAGTCTCATGTAAATTTTTTTTTATTTGGAGTGGTTGAAATTTTTATAGTGAAAATAATCACAAAAATTATTTATGTGGAGAACCCATTATGATTTCAATATGTGCTTGCATGTGAATACGAATCTTTTGGAAAAGCAATGTGATTTGGATCGATTTAAGTATGCAAAACTGAAAATCAAAAAAAAAAATTTCATATGACTTAAACCATGTTAAATTGACAGAGCGATATCTAGCCAGCCATTATTTGCTTTTATTCAAAGAGTTAAAATTAATTATTCGCTCGACCCTTTAAACGAGACTTCTTTCAGGGATTGTGAATAAAATGAAGTTTAACATGTTTTAATTTAATCCGACGGTAAAAAAATCGCATATACTTTTTGTCTCGAAAGTAATTCCAGTTGATGACTTCCATCATCAGCAATACCAGTTTAAGATTTAAAAGAATTTTTTTGAAAACTTGTACTCTAACTTAATTATTTTATTAATAATTTTTAGTTAAATCAGACTATAGAAACTGGAATTTTACTATAGGTTCATTTCTCACTTATTTAAAGGATAAAAATGGGAAATCTTTCATATTTACCTCTCGAATTGCTTTACCTCCTCGAATTGCTAAATAACACCAAATTATTAAGCTCAATATTTTCTTAAAGTAAAAACCTAAAATTTTATTGAAAAAACACCTCCACAAAAGTTTTATATTACATTCATAGAAACACTTTATATCAGCCGTTGGAAAAGTGCGGCTCATTCAACTTCAAAATGTGGCTCATCATACTGCTTGCAAAACTATATTCGATTGCGAGTATTAAAACTTTTCAAAATAATTATGAGAATTCAATCATAGATCATATTTGTCAAAACAAAACAATCAATAAATAGTTAGCTGAAAATGTCATTTTTCTTATAAGTAGGTAATGTAAGAAACTCGAATGGCCCATACTCAATGGCCCATTCGTGAAATCTTGTGGAAGATTTTATGTTATGCTCTTCGTCATCAGATTTTTTTAAACTGTTATTTGTTTCTTTTCAAAATATTTTTCTTCAGTCGGAAAAATTGAAACCTGATTTTGAATTGGAAAAAAAAATAAAAAAAAAATATTAACAATATTTATTCAGATATTAAAAATCAAAATTTCAAGATTGCTCAATTAAATACGCTAACTTTTAAAATACAACGGATCAATATTTTGAGGGCCATATAATTTTGAAAGAAACAAGGATAAATTTAAATGACAAAATAATAATAATATCTTTGAAATGTAAATAAATTATTTCACCCTTATTATATGAAGGACGAAACATTTTTATGTACGAATAAGTACAATTCACATTTATAATAAGATTCTACCTTTTAATACCTGTATATGAAAAGGTTTATAATATATATATATATTATACAGAATTGTACGTCATAACGTACTTATATATACATACATAAGTATATGCATTTTATACTTATGTATATATTTATTTCTTATGATGGAACTTAAGAAAAATCCTTATGATGGCTTAAAAAATAATGAAAGTCTTTTAAGACTTTTTTACATTTTGTTTTTAAAAATTTCTTCAATTATACAATATTGTTGGAAGAGGAGGGTTAACATTTTCCTTGGTTCTTCAAAACTAATACTATTACTATTGAACGTACTAAATATTTCAATATTTAAAAATTTGTTATATATGCAAGGTGTGCTGCAATAATAACAACTCTGAACAAATAATAAAGCGGATCTTAAGAGAATTCGAAAACTGTTTTGTACCTCCATTTGCATTTTTCTTTTAATATGATTATCTGGTTTGTAATTTGTCTGGTAAATTTTTTGAATATGCAATAGTTTCGTAAAATCACTATGACCGTGGATAATGTGGAACCAAACTGCCATCGACTTTGTCCAATTTTTTGTTTGTATAAATCCCATAACTATGTCACGCTCCTCTAACGACGATTGTCAAAAGCAAGCGTACAAAAATTTGTGTAGTCCCTTAAATTACTAATTGACATTAAGACCGTAATTACAAATTATTAAAGCTAATTTCTAACAAAATTCAACTAATAATATTTTTAAATTGTAGTTGAAAACTTCAAATAAGTTATTAACGTAGTTTTTAATTCGCACTTTGTCGTAAATTAAATTAAAATTTTATATTCTCTTTTACAGGGAAAGATTAGCACATGTCAAATCTCCGGTGCACACGACACCTGGTAGTGTAAAATTAAAACCTAATTTTTCTAATGCTGGTGGAATAAGTGGGAATATTGATGGTATTGATGGCAATTCTCTTACATTTAAACAAGCAATTGTATCCCCACAAAATTTAACATCACCGAATTTTCGACTAAATGATTTTCAAAGTGAAAAAACGATTTTAAATTCATCAAATTCAACAAATGCTATATCAATAAGTGGAATTGGTTCTCCATCACCAAATACAACAAAAGTAGAACATTTTCTTAGTGGAATAAGTAACAATTGTACAAATTCGATGACCGGACCACATAGTATTGAAATAAAACAAAAACAAAGAATGAGAACATCTAGTATGCCTGTAGAAACTAGAAAGGTATGAAAAATCACAAAATTTCCACTATAATCTACAAATTTTATTTGTGAAACGAGAATGCAAAAAAAAAACCACTGCAGAAATATGAAAAATGTGGGGATCCATTAATAAAACGTGGAAAAAAGAATTGTGATGCGTAATAATTGAAGGGTTTAAGCAACATTTTCATTTTTTTCGTAAAAATTTCTAGAAAAAATGGCACTTCACCCATTTGCTAGGATGGTGCATTTCAATTAAAAACTAAATATTGCTCCGTTTGGGTTGAAAGAAACCAAAAATTTTGTATTATTATTATTTTCCGAACACCAAAAAGGTTTGAAATTTCAAATGGACTTATTTATAATCTCCATTTATTTATAATCTCTTCGTTTATTTCTGCGCCACAATGCACAGAATCAAAATGTTCCACACTGTTGGTATTATAATACTAGTTAACTATAGAGTTTAATTGTAAGTTTTTACTTTATATATCCGGCTATCTAGAATGAAGCAGAATTTCATAAACACATAGTTACTTTAAAGATTTCCGAAATGTGAAAATGTGTTTGATTTAATATACAAACCACGTTTCATATAAAATCATTGAAAATTTTGCAAGAATTTCATTTTAAAAAATTTTAAAAGCTTATCAAAATTAATCGATTAAAATTATGACGTCAATGATTTAATTTATGATGTCACGATAAATTTGAGTAATTTTAAATGATAAAAAAAGAGTCTCTAAAGATAAATTTGGTATTTCTTATTAAATTATTTATGCTATTATCAAGGACAATCAAGAGAATTTCATTAGATTTAGCTTTGAATATTTTCGTCATTTTGTTGTGTTTGTACAAAGTGTGTATATTGAATACGTGCATTGTAATCATCAAATTTCAAAATTTCAATTATTTTCAAAAACAAATTGATATCCTCACAATTTTTATTATCCTTGAGTTTCATAGTGCCATAAATACGGTTTTTCTTAACTCAAGGTAATTATTAGGCTTATAAAAATTTTTGTATTTATCTTTAAATTTTGAATAAAGTGTTGAAGTATTAATAAAGATTATAATAATCTTCGTAATGCTGGCTGGCTATATTCAAGATGATAGCTATACAATATTCATAATTTTATGTAAAATGAAAAGAAAAAAAATTGGATTTTCTAAATCAGAAACTTTTAAAAACTTTCAATTTACATTTTTGTTTTTACATTTTCCTTTGCATTTAATAAAGAGTACATAGAAATAACATTGCTTAAGTTATTAATAATAAATCAAAAATGGAAGATAAAGGTTATAAAATGGAATGTTGATAATGATAAAAGAAAATATTTGATTTTGAAATAAAAGAAAAAAAAATCAAGAAATTGAAAAAAAAATGATAGAATGAAAAAATACTTTGGAAACAATGTTAGAAATACTTATGGAAACTTCAAAATAAAACAAAAAAACTAGTTTGTAACAAGGGCTTGACTTTTTTATTACTTCGACATTTTCTCTTTTATATTCGTGCCAATTTTTTGTAGATGGAATAAAAAAACTTTTCCCTTTTCTTGTATTTTCATAAAAAATTTTTCACTTTTCAAAGTTATTTTAAATGAAATAAAGTTGAGTCAAACCAATGGCTTGTGAAGAAGCACTTTTTCCTTCAAAATGTAAAAATATACTATTTAAAACGATCTATTACATTATTCATAGACTAAAAATTTAAAAAAAAAAATTGCATACATTTAGGAGGCAAAAAAAATTTTAAGATGTGTGAGGTATAATGAGGAATTCAAGGGTTAATTGCTTGAATTAAGAAAAATAATATATTTTTTGTAGCACGTATTTTTCCGCTAGCTTTTTGTATTTACAGAAATTTGAAAAGGCTTACAGTTCCGAAAATATAAAATGCCAAAAATTCAAATTTTACAAATTTCGGGAAACGTTAACTTGAAGAGGGGATGAAGGATGAAAAGCTTTCTTTTGACGAAATAAACTTAAGTATCTAAATATTATTAGTATCTAAAAAATGCTAAAATTTCACACTCTTGTATCATATCGTCTAGAAGGAAAACGATAAAAATTTGAAAAAAAATGAATTGAAAAAACTATGCTTTACACCGAAAGAAGAAGCAAAACATTATTTAAAAAGTAATGAAAAATAAATAGTCAAAAAATGGGATCTTAAGGTCTATGAGGGCTGTAACTTTTAGAAGGGGGTATATAGGTAAAAATTTTCTTCTACGGAAAATATTCTAGTAAAGATCTATGTACAAAAGAAATTTCTGCTTTTTATTCTCAAGGGTATAGAAGTTTTGTAAACGGGTCCACTGACAGACGGATAGAGTGCAACTAATAAGCACTTTTTTTCAAAATATTTTTGGAGAAGTGCTAAAATTGAGAAGAAGAAAATGTTATACTAAAAAAGTTTGGTTACTAAAATGAAAGATTTTTCAAAATTTTTAATAAAAAGTATTCAAAATCTTTTCCATCAAAATGAAATATTCTTTTCATCATTCAAACCAAAATTTATTTTAAATTTAAGATTCGTACATGTATTATGTAATCTTCAAAAAACCTTCCATGTATCTTTAAAAACCCCTTAATTATCATACTTTATTCATGAACTTTTAATGGGTATTTGCATATTATTATATAGGTATAGCATATGGAAATATTGTGTATCAGGCATATTGAAATTTCCTTTTAATACCATTTAAAATTTGCATAGTATATTGAAGAAAAAAAAAGTTCTTATTATGTAGACGTAGGTGGAATAAAATAAAAAAAGAAAATTATCTTCTTCGTAATAAAATTTCTTATTTGTCATATATAAGGTAATTTTCAATACTTATTTATGATCATTTTTTTCGACCTAATTGAATAATTTGCATTTAATTCTAAAATTATATAATAATCAATTTTTTTTCATTTTTTATAGGTATACTATAAAGTTTAATGTTCGATTTTTCCAAAATAAAATTTTTTATAACGTTTTATAAAAGAATTTTTTAAATTACTTATGGTATTTTGGAGAAAAGAAAACACTTCGATCGTCACCGAATTCTTAAAAACCTCACAAATTTTCTACAATCTCCAATTCGATAGAATTCGCTATTTTTCTTGCATTCATCATATCAAAAATCGAACTAAATAAGTTAATTCTCATGAAAAAATAGTAATACATATGCTATCTTCTTATTCTTGATTCCTTTTTCCGCCGTAGGGGACTGAGGTCCCTCTCACGTCGATGCATAGGATCTTTTGTGATTCCCATCCACACCTATATTTGCATTATATCTAGGCTCCTGAAAAATTGCAGTATAGCAGCCACCTCAAGCCGCGAGACTTCCATCGTGGTTATGTACAAAGCCGTTTCCGAAGTAGGCATGTCGGTCGTAGGCGAGCCACTGCCTCGAATTTATGCAATAAGAAGTCCACCGTGTCGTCCTCTAAAAAATTAAGAATATTAAAAATATATGAAGTATTCCAAGTCTCCAGGAATTTAACACATTTTTTTAGAAAATATTTGTACCAAAACTATAGATTCGTAGATTCGTAGATTCTAAGGGAACCGAGTGGGACAGGAGCATCCCCCCAAGCCACCGCAGCCATTTTTGACTTATTGTAGCCACCCCACTCTCCCGTCTATAATATCCCCGTCCCAATCACAAAGCCGGAGATATCCCTAAGGGAGTTGGACAATAGTTCCCGAACACTTAGGGACCCATGTCCAAGACAATTGCGGCGCCGAACAGCCAGTGCCGGACAGTCGCAGAGAATGTGCACGGCGGTCTCATCGCCACCCCCCACAAAATCTGCACAGGGGGGAGCCCGACTTCCCCAGCCTGTGCAGGTGGTATTTCCCGGGCAGTGCCCCGTGAAGAAATTCGCAATAGTGCGAACCCGGCTCCTGCTCATCCCCTACCAAAACTATAACATTCATGCCAAGTGTATAAACACTTCTACATTTTAATAATGTTTAAATCCACGATGACATATTTTTAGTCGCAAAGCAGGTGATAATAACCTATTTTTGTATTTCAAAAACGATTGCCAAATTTATACTTTTTCTTTTATAATTTCGTTTGTTTCGAATTTTAAATAAATATTTAAGCATTTTAAAAATTAAAAAATTTTTCCTTTAAGTCTTTAACATCCATTTTTGGATATGAAAACGAAATCTTTGAATTAAAAATCGATGCTGAGATTAGAGACTAGTGTTTTACAAACTGTATATTTAAATTAACCTCTCTCTACTTATGTTTATCTCACATGACCCTCCCTTATAACTAATAATATGATTTCATTTCAAATATTTATTTAACGAATTGTTTATGGTTTGTCAATTAAAATTAAATCTTTTGAAATATTTCTCTATTTATTTAAGAACAAAAAAATAAATGTTAAATAGCAGATGAAAACCCAAATATTTAACTTTCAAAACCCCATACCGTTAGAACTGAGATATTTCATAAATTATGCGCATTTTAATACAAATACTTGTAGTATTCTTTGGGACACTAAATATTAAAGAGAGTATAAACAACAATATTTAAAGAAAAAACAGATTTTTTTTCCGTGAAATTTTAAGTAGAATCGTCCACTAGAATGATAATTTTCTTTAGTAGAAGCTTACATATATAGTTGTAATGTTTTATGGACTAAAAGATTTGCTTGGGTTAATATCAAGTCTGTGGCTTGTAAATTCAGTTGTATATTGTATTAGTTAAAAAAAAAATTGATTCCTTTCGGTGTTAAATAGCATTTAGACCAGAATTGAAGTCAGGATTTGATCACCTTATTAAAATGCTTGTATTATGCTTATATTTCTATATATTGTGTTTGATTCCAACAGTATTTTATAATGAAATTACATATATCTTTTATTTAATTATATAATTTTAGCCGAGATTAGCTGAAATGCGAAGAGCTGCAATACATTGTGCAGATGTTGATATTGAATATTATAGACTGAGAAGTTTTAGCATAACGTCACATGGTATATGTAATTTAGGGGATTCACTTAGGTAATTATTTCAATCAGATCAAATTATAAATGATAATTTATTTAAACTAACACTAAAATATTATTGTTACAAAATCTTTATTTTTTATTTATATTAGAAGTAGAAGATCACGTTCAATCAATTCTGTAACATCAACAGCGACATCTAGTAGGAATAACAGGTACGTAATCATGAATAGAATTATAAAATGAAACAAAAAACAGTTCACTGAAGATCATTTTGAATAAAATGTGTTTCTTTATTATTCACTAAAATGCTTCATTATTTAAAATTTACTAATTTCTATAGCAATGCATCTCGGACATCTGATATGATTATTGAACCGCAAAATGAAAATGAAGATAATTTAGATAATTTACCAACACCAACTCATAAAATTGCAATGCTTGGATCATCTGGAGTTGGTAAAACAGCACTCACATATCAGTTTACAACTTCAGATTATATATGCGCCTATGATTTGAGTTTAGGTAAATATTTTGCAAATGATATTTTTTATTTTTCTATATCATAATAATTATTTTTATCTATTTTTAAAATAGACGATGATTATGGTCAAAAAACCGTTTCTGTATTAGTTGATGGCATTCAAACTGATTTAGAGATAATCGATCATCCGGCTTGTGAAATGTCGGTAAGTGCAAAAAATGCTTTACATTTTAAATGCCAAAAATATGAAGAAAACGAGTTTAAATTTTTGTTCACTGTTAGAACTGTTGAAAATTCTTGTATACAAATCCACTTCAAAAACAGAGCAAAAGTTGAAAACAGAACAAGAGCGGATATAAGATTAATTTAGAATACACATTACCGCTAATATAGCTACTTTTGGTGGCTTTTTTTAAACCATCTGTTTCCACAGATGTGTGACATTAGATACAAAATATTGAGCAGTTCACGTAACTGCTAATATTTAGCCGTTCACGGCAATACTGCCGTTCCGCTGTTGTTCTGAGTTATTTTCGGAAATTATTTACCGTTTGGTTCTGTTTGCACAATAACTTTTGTATATTTTCACAAATAAAACTTGGTTTTTGGAAAAATGGATTTATTAAATATTTAAACTACTTTTATTTTTATTTTATAGACAGAAGCATTTTGTTCTACATATAACGTTGATCTATTTGTTGTTGTATATTCTGTAGTAGATAGGAATTCTTTTAAGTCAGCTGAGAAAATATTACAATACTTAAAAGAAAATGAAATGTTATTGGTTCGTGGAGCCATACTAGTTGCTAATAAAATTGATTTAGAACGGCAACGCCAAGTTACAAGACAAGGTAAGTATTATCTTTTTATATAACTTTCAATATTTACATGAAGAATGTTCCGGAAAATATTCAGACTTTCTATAGTTCTTAACGTGATTACTCCGGCAAAAATGTTCATATTTATTGTTTATAAATATTATTGTTAACTGTATGAATTCTGTGGTTACAAATAAAAACTTTTTATTGTATAACCGTGCGGAAGAAAACCGCAACAATAAAAATCAAATTTTCATGGCAAAACTACCATCAACATTGTACCATATTGGGAACAACTTAATAATAATTTGATTGATTTTCCATTATATTCTACATTACAGCATTTTTCAAGTGTTATTTATGAAGAACAGGCCTTTAATTTATTCAGCTTATGGCAATAAAATTTCAAAATTATGCAAATTAATTTTTTTCCTTTAATTCTCCATTTTGCGATAAGAATAATTTATATTGAAAGTAAAAATTGCCGCACCAGTCTTATTCTAAACTTTAATCAAAAGTTGCAAGATTTGTAATAAAAATTTTTATCATTCCTTCCCTTTTCAACTAATTTTTTTTCATTTTCTATAAAATCGATGAAAACTTCTTAACTGAATTAACAACGAATTTTGTCGCGTAAAACCCGAAAGGAACATGAAATCAGTCAAAATTTTCAATATTAAAATAACTTTAATTTTCTTGGAACGTTGAATTGCCGCCATATGTTTGTGTTGGCATGTTTATGTATGTACGATTTATTTATTGTATGACTAGGGTGGGTTTCGAGATTGTAAAAATTTCTAAAAAAAGAAAAAGAACTCATAGCTCAATGAACTGGATTAAAGTATTGAATAGAGGTGAATTTTTTTTCTCTTATAAATTATACAATAAACAAATTGTAATTTGAATTTTTTTATATGCTTATTTCCAATTTGTTATTAAAGTTTTTTTTTCTCTCATTTTTCCATTTATTTGTACATTTGTTGCCATTTTGCTTTTTTTTTGTTTTTCAGTTTGCATATATTTATTTGCGTCTTAATTATTTATTCCTTTCATAAAAATAGACTATAGGATAACACGATGAAATCTAATTAAGAACGCGGAAAATTATTTATTAAAGAGAGATAGAAGTGGAATTAATTTAAAATTCTAACAATAACTTAGTAAATGAATACATTTGCGAACTCTTCTTAGATGAAACCGACAAAAATTATTCCTTTGTAATATAATGTAGAAAAAGCAACTTTAAATGAAAAAATAAGAGTAATGAAAATGAAAGCAAAGTTTGCAGACTTGTTTCTATTTTATGCTTTAACAAAGTATTTTTTAATTGGAAGACTTTAATGAATGGAAAGTAAAAAAAATTAACTTTAGAATACGCAAAAGTTCAACATGAAAGAGGATAAGCAATGTCTTCATCCCCTTTTGTTTATTGATTCTATTTTGCTATTGCCAAATTGGCTTAAAAATATGCTATTCATTTAATTGGCAATGGTCAATTTTACAATCTAATTTTCTCATCAAAATTTAACAAACAAATTAAAAAATAAGCTTCTACATCTTAAGAATTGTAGTTTCATCGGAACTACAATTTTTTAGGTGCAGAATCGGAATAAGATCTAATTTTAGAATTAGGTTCTTTATGAATCAACAAAAAGAGTAATAATACAAAAACAAAATGCTCTTAATCGAATCTGTGCTAGTTTGTAAAGTAAAATGGAACAACGAGTACCTCGACAAGAAAGTTGCGGCCAAAACTAGATTTGTACTGCACAAGAGTTCTGATTTCTCTCCGCCGGGAGGATATCGGTGCTGTAATAGGAGCTCTAACGGGTCATTGTCTGATTGACGAACATGCAAGAATGATGGGCCGCCCCGGAAACAATCTGTGTAAAAACTAATGTGAAAAAGAAGTGGAAGAAATAGTTACTCTTCTTTGGGTATGCTTATTTAATATAACTGTAAGGGATTTCTGTCGACTTTTGTGATGGTTGGGCTGGTTCAAATAAGCGGCGAAAAAGTAGAGATCCGCTGGTACCACTACGGGACTAGCTGTACACTTCGGAGAGCCGCGTTAAGCTAACCTACCCTAACCTATCTATAAATTAGTTGGAATTGGGATACAGTAATTTGTTGCCATTTTGAATTTTAACGATTTCGAAAAGCTTTAATTCTAAGGGGAAATGAAAATGTTTTGTTTTCTTACTAATATATACCCTTTTTCATTTTTTTTGTAAATGCAGTAATGTGCAGCTTATCAACTTGAAAATAGTAAGTTTTTATATTATTTTCTTATTTTTAATCAATATTTTTTTTCTTTGCATGTCTTAAATAAATTTAGCGGGTCGAAAATTAGCAAAAGAAATTGGCTGTAAGTTTATAGAAACATCAAGCGGATTAGATCACAATGTTGATGAATTACTAGTTGGTTGTGTAGCACAAGTTAAACTGAATCCACAGAGAATTGAAAATTTAAGCGAAAAAGATAAACAACGTTTATCATTGGGTTCAATAATCAATAAACATCGTAGACTTGAATTACCAAAGAAAAAATTTATGAAACAAGCCAGCATATGCAAGGATGTAAACGAAAAAAGTAATGATCATTCTCAAACAAGTAAAAAGATTTTTAAATCGGGACCAATCAAAAAAGTTTCAAAACGTATTCTTAATCTTGAAAATATATTAAAAGTTGGTGAAAGTGAAGTTGAAGATGATGATGATGGTTATCGTTCAAAATTATCAAATATTGGTTCATCAATTGCAACAGAATCAACTAAATTAAGTTCAATATCTTCAACTTCAAATGAAATAAATACAAAAAAATCACAATTATTTGATGTAGTAACAAATTTATCAGCTGCCACTCCTGGAACAGTAAGTGCCATTACAACAACAAGTGGATCTTCAATTGGTTTTGGCGGAAAATTGTTGCGACATTCTTATGATAATGATAATCAAATCACTACACAAAATGTATCGAATTTAACTGATGGTAGCTGTAGTAGTAACAGTCTCAATTTAAGCCCTGAACATAGTAATAATAGCTGTAAGAAATCTGTATCAAATTTATCAACAAGAACAAAAACTTTTTTAAGTTCAGTTCTTAAATTTAAAAAAAATTTAAATGTTAAACGAAGAAATTCAAGTAGTTGCAGCGACCTATTTGTTATTTAGGTAGTTTTAATTTTTTTTTTTTGTTTTTTTGAAGTTATTGCCAATCGTCCCAACCACACGTTTTTTAAAATAGTTATGACCACGATATATTTTTAAAATAAACTCGAATTGTATTAAATTTTCATTTTTGTTCATTAAAGATAATTTTAAACCATAAATAATTGCAGTATACGCACCAAATTTTGTAAAATATATTTGCAATTAACTTGCATCTAATTTTTATATATAACCTTTTTTATATTAAAAAGTAGTTTTTTTCGACTTAGATATTTTATAAATTGTATAATATGAAAAATAAATAAAGTACTACTAAAGCGACCCTGAAACTATCATCGACTAGACATAAATATTTCAAAAATTTTTTAACTTCCAATAGTGTTTTAAAGGCAAGTGCTCCGATACAAACAAATGATATAAATAGGTTTCGAAAAGAATATATGTATAGTATTAGGAGAAAAAGGAAATTATTTCCCTAAAATTACTAAGAATTATTTTTACCTAAATTCTACTGAGTTTACTAAATTTTTTTCCCCACATTTTTTCAAATATTCGCCATAAATTGCAAAATTCCAAAACGCATAGTTTTCACCCCTTTTTAAAAAAATTTTTAAATAATTTCAATATACTTGTTAGTTAAGCATTTATCAGTTTGTAAATAAAACTTGAATGAATGTAAGGCATTTGGATCAAATTTTTCTAATCAACTGCAACTTCTTCTCATTTCTAACTGTACTGCTAAGTGTTTTCATGGTACATTTGAAGATTTTGTACTCCAAATTCATTGAAAATACTTTATATAAAAATCTAAGCTAACTTTCGAAAATCCTCAATAACATTGTACTCACATCCAATGAGTTAAATTTTTGCAACACGTCCACACTATTTCAACGAAATCTTACTTTAACATATTTACTTTTGAGTTCAAATTGTTTTCGTTTTTTTAAATCTGAATCTCTAAAAGCTTTAGCACGCAACTAACAAGTAACATTCTTTAAGTATAATTTTTTCTAATTTTATAGAATAAAAATCTTTTTGCACATGCACATATTCTGCAATTATGGACACAAAGATTTAGTCTTCCAATCTTAAGCGACATTATTTAACAGTAAATTTTGCACATTTTTATAATTATGGTAATTTATTTTTTTTTTCTTTTATAATAAAACAAAAATGTTTAAACTAAAATGAAAAACAACCCAAAAAAAAAAAAAACACTGACTGTTTTATAAAATTAACTTCGAATTTCTTGAATTTTTTGAATTCTTAGTTATAGTAAATTTAGTTTTTACGACAATAACAATGTAGAAAAACCTAAAATATTTGTGTATAATAATTATTAAATTTGCAATGGTTTCAAAAGTTTTGGAAAGGACCAAATAAAATTATTTATGAATATTTACATACATATTATATTAAGTGTAGATAAATCTAATTTTTGATAAAAGTGACGCAAAGCTAATATAATGATAACCTGTTAATTAACTTGGTCAAATCACATTTTTCCTTTTCAAATTGCGAAAGCTACTTGTACTATAATATTGTGGCCTGTGTGATAAATTTATTTCAAATCAATGAAATTTTAATTTAAAATAAGTTCTTTTGCCTGCTATTGAAATTTCACGCTCTTCTATACATTTCTATGCTGTCTATATTCTCTCAAATTTTCTTTAATATAAGAGATTTGACTTGCAATATCCAAACTTCAACAGTATTATATTGTAGTCATACTGTCATTCATTGCGTTTACATGTAATCCAATAATCCCCTCTATTATAAACAACGCTATTGAAATCGACCAATTAATTATCGGTAGTTTTAATCGGCTTTTGGTAGTTTCTTGTGTATAAGTACCAATATCGATCAAAAAATTTCAATCAATTAAAAGAAGCTTTTTCATACAAATTTTAATTTATGTAAATTAAAGCAAAAGCTTTGTTTTCTAATTTTCTTTCAAAAACTGTTTTGAAAAAATCATTTTGAATTTGCTTTCGATGTGTTAAAAAATTGTGAGGAAACGCACTCTATTCAAAGACGACGTATAAGAGGCTCAAATAATCAATTGGATATAGACAACAATTACGTACATATTTTATTTTATTATAATTACATAACATAATTTAACAACTTGCTACGCTTGTAGCTTTAAAACAAACATTCCTTGTCATGGTCTAAACCTCCTTTAATTTTTCTGCCAATAGCGTAATTTGTTTTTTTTATTGTTTACGATTTTACTGTACAGGTAAAAAAAGCTTTCCCAACTCCGATAAAATTTGCCGATAATCGATATTAGGAACACAAAATTCTACGTAGTAAAGAGGAATGCCAGATTCTAAAACTACAAATACTAATTAAATACAGAGCAATTTTTTTTTTGCAGTTTGTAGTTGAATCTGACGTAAACGATTACACTCATTTTGGCTGGACAATTTCAATTTTTATTTTGCTTTGTGTCAGTTTTTTTTTTTCCAACAGTTTAATACATAATAATATGTTTAAATGCTTGAGTTATTTATACATATAAATTAATTATATAATTAATAGTAATTAATAGTAATTAAAAAATTGAATTTTCAGAAAAAATCAAAAAGTTTTGTTTTAAATAAACATGTATGGAAGAATTAATTAAGTATAATCTAATATATGAAAGTAAATATAAAGCGTATTGTATAACAGCAATTTTATTCAAAAAAATTATATTATATACTATTTATACATTAAGTGTGAAAAAGAAATTATAGAAATATAAAATTAAACAGGATTTGATTTGTTATTTTAAATTATTAAAGCATTTATATTATGTAAATAAATATTAAAATTGTATATTATATAATTAAAATCATTAAATCGCATATATATATAAATAATTAAAATTTATTATGTAAAATTTTTTTTTTATTATTTAACCTAATCAGTTGTATTTCATACGTACGTTAAATAAATCTATATACATAGTAAAAAAAAATATAGTAATATAAAAATAGTTGAAATATAAATATTTTATTTTAATAATAAAATTTTAGAAATATTATTGTAAGTATCCAAAAAATTATATTTTATATTTCAATTATATCAAAAGATAATGAGATCTGTCATCATTGTTTTTATCATTCATATTTTTCTGAACCCTATAATTCACCATTAAAAAATGAACTTTCAAAAATAGTTGCCATTGTGCATTGTAATTTTATAGGTGAAAAAATTCATTAAAAAAAAATTATTAATTATACAGCAGCTGTTTATTATTCACTCATTTGGTGAAAGGTGAATTTTTTCTTTCACTCATTCTTGCTTTCATTCACGATTTTCTGACAATGATAACATAGGGGCCAAAAAATTACATATAACTTGTACGTTTTTGCCTTTTTTACCTAAAATCCTAAAAGTTTTATATGCTGAATGATTGTTAATCCCCTGCAAAACTTAAGAGTTCATAAATTTTACAAAAAATACGGTAATTTGTTGTAAGAATTTGATATATCTAAAACAAGAACAAAAAAAATTTCCATGTCTCATGTAAGAGCAAAAGTGTTTTCATATAAGACCAGAAATTACCCAAATAAAAATTTAACCTGCAAGTTATTAAATGTAACAATTTTTTATTAAATAAGACATATGTTTATAGTACTTTCCCTTATATTTTTAATTTACTTAATTTGTTACAATTTTATTGACCATTACTGTATTAAATTTTATTGCCGAAATTTAAACATATGATTTGATTTTATTTTATTTTTATCTGAAAGTATTTACATACAAACACAATGTATTACCAGCATCTTACATATAGAGATATCAAATATAAAAAATCTAAAGTACTCATTTGAGTATTATGTGTGTATTAGAAAAATTACTCGTTCCTATAATTTTATGTGATTGTTCAACATAAATTTTTTTTTTAATAAACCTGAAAAATAATTTTGAGTGTAAATCGTTATCGTTAGTATTCAACTCATTTTAATTTCATTTCTCAGTCTGGTATAATCACTTGAACGATTAAATCCATATAATTAAAGTAATACGCAATAATGTCTTTATCAAGGCCGGTTTTAAATCTTTTAGGAACATACTTTGAGCAATTATTTAATCATCCGATTAGAACAAAATCTTTAACAGCGTAAGTATATTACAAAAATTGTTTAAAAACTCTATTTAATATTATGTTAGGTATATTTTTAAAGAAATGCATAATTATTGTAATTATAAAGTTTTTATTAAAGTCTAAAGGCGAATTTAAGCGATCAATAAACAAGGCACACGTACATATGTACATACTTGTAAATATTTGATTTCATAGAGAATTTTGTTATTGTTTCTCTTGTTAAAAGTTAAAAATTTTTATTTTAATTATTTCCACATTTTTATAATATGAAAAGCTAAATCTTTAAACAGATTTGGAAAATGCTGAGCTTTGAATTTCAGTCAAAGTAACATGTTATTAATATTTTTATTTTTTTTCTTGCAATTTTTAAAATTAGTATTTACTCAATTTAACTCGGAATTGGAAAACAAAAACAAGAGTTATTGAGAAAAGAGTAAAAAGATCATTATTTATTGTCCAGTTATGTTGGCATTGTACACATATGGGTACATAAGTATGTGTATGCAGGAATAATATTCTCTCTTATACATAAACATAGCAAATTGCAATATCAACATTTATAGTTGGGCATTCAACTTTAGGGCAATAATTTCAAATTTTTAATTTATTTTAAATATTAATAAGTTTTCGGAAAATTTTTTTTTTTCTAAATTTATATTGAATTCTTTAATTGCAATATTATACATTTTCAATTTTGTTACTTTTATTCGTTTTTATACAGGTTGAAAATTTTAAATAATTTTTATTTGTACAAATTTATGTAACTTTTGTTCTTGAAATTAAATAGAAAACTGTAAAAAAAATATTTATTACATTTCTAGAAATGTTGAATTCATTTAATTTATTTGTCGAATTAAATGCGTCCCCTTTAAAATGTTTACGTAAATTTTATTTTAGCAGGCCAAACGATAACTCAAATGCACATTAAATTAATTGATTCATGGGCATTCCAGTTATCGTTTGGCAAAATTGACAAACAAATCAAAAAAAATACTTTAATGATTTAGAAAATTATTTAATGCTTTTCTCTATTTTTGGGTTGTATGCTGTTATAAACGGAGTGATAAGAAATTTAAGATTACCTATACTAGTTTAAAAAATTCCTATTCAAATTCCACTCAAAATGGGCGCTTATCGTTTAATTCACTCTCAACTCATATTGTTAAATAAACAAACATAATATAATCAAGTAATGAGAGAATGAGTAATAAAGCCCGATTTTTTTTAACTTAATTCGATTTTTTTGCTTAAATCGATACAATTAAGATCCGTTTTTGAAAATTATTATAGTTGTACACCGAAATAAGCTTTTTAAGTCAATATTTATTTATTTTTATTTTTTAAGAGGAACAGAATCACTTTTACAGCCACTAAACTAATTAATTTTCACTTTCTGCAATTTTTGTTTTGTACTTGTCAACCCTAATTCTAACTTTGTCTGATAATTGCAAAACAGTTTATGTTTATTTAAATTTATGATAAGATTTTAAGCGATTTATAAGTGTTATTTTAACAATAATAAAAAAAATAATAAATATTTATAAATTTTTCTTGATAAAATTAGTCAAAAAATCGCAAAATCATTGCTACTTGCAGTGAAATAGTTAATAGCTTCATTTACTCTAAAATAAAACCAAAAAAAACAATCATAAAATGTAGAAATTGTATAAAAACTAATATTTCAGTTTATTTTAGAAATTTGAAGAATATTTATGCTTAAAATTCATTTATGTTTATTTATTCAAGTGATGATTCCCTTAAACCCATTGCTTTTCAATTTGGAAGCAAGAATTTTAATGTTATCCCGATAATATAAATTAATTTATTAAGCACTAAATTACTGATAGTAAAATTTTTAATATAGGGATTGTGCCTACTTTAACAATAGGACGTTATTAACGATAACATTTTAATATGTGGTTTTTTGCCCATTTTTCATGCGAAGTGAAGACAAAGCACACATTTTCACACAACTTTACCATTAGGCATATTAGGAGAACAAAATTTTTATATAAAGAGTAAAGTAAGATAAGGTTTCACTTCCAAATTTGTTTTATCCCCTTATAGCCATTAACGTATTTAAAAATGTATCGAAACAACAATAAGTAAAAATTTTTTATTCCATTTCTTCCGTTGCAATTGAGACAATAAAAAATAATTGTTTCTTGAATGAAATTCAAAACTAACTTATACAATGTATTGCACATGCATATTAAGTAATATCCTATATATTTTACAGTTGCGTTTTAGCTTCATCAGCAAATATTGTATCTCAAAAACTATCATCAAGTAATTCAATTAATTACAAAAATGTCAGTGCATACGCACTATTTGCGTAAGTAATTTTGTTGATAATTAATGAAAAAATTATGTGAAATAATCAACTTAATATTGTATAAAAAAAAATTTTCAGACTACTTTTTGGAGGCACAGTACCACATTATTTTTATACAATTATAGAGAATACGTTACGAAAAGATTTCAGACTTCGAAAATATTTAATATTCGCATGTGAACGATTAATGTTAACACCAACTATGGTAACACTTTCGCTGTATTTTTTATCCAGATTTGAGGTAAATTTTTTTAATGTAAAATATACCAATATTTAACAATTATATTTATTTGTGTCAACAATTTCAAATCTCTGTATTTTTTAGGGTGCTGATCATAAGACGTCCGAGGATAAAACTAAAAAATTATTCATGAGTATTTTAACCGCCAATTGGATGTTCTTATCAATTCCATCATTTTTAAATATTTATTTTGTGCCACCAATGGTAAATATTTTAACTAGCTTTCATTTTATGTTAAAATTTCCAAAGCAACTTTGCTCCTGGGTCTAAATTTACTTTATTTCTAATTTAAGATTTGGTTCAATATAAAAAATACATTTTTGTCGGCTTCTTTATAAAATTTTTTGAGATATAAACAAAATATTAACTTATTAGAAGCAATATCTCATAATTTTCTGAAAGATATATAGATCTAATACATTATTTTCATTTAAAATTGCTTACTCATGCCTTAACCTTCTATATTAAAGCTTTGATCGTACGTAAAGCTTTCTTTACGTACGTCTCTTCAAAGACAATAGCTATATTAAAACTTTTCTAGTGCAATTAACATGCGACAATTTAAAGTTGAATCTCTAAATAATCTTTAATTCGATAACTGAAGAAAAAAGAGAACAAAAATTGCTTAAAGAACGCTTAAATTACAATATTGACCAAATCTCAACGTGCTAGTCTCTTTTAATAACAAAATGAAATGCTTGCTTGTCTACTATGAATATAGAATTAAATTAAATAGAAGTTACTAATATTTTGTTTTAATTTATATTATTTTTCATTTTAGTTACGAGTTTTGATGACAAATATAATCGCATTCGTTTGGATTATATATGTTTCGAAGAAAAGAGCTAAGAAGCAAAATGATTCGGCAAAAGATTAAATTCCGATTATTCTGAGTAAAATGTGATAAGATATATTTTAATATTTTTAAACGTCATGTAAATTACGGATATTAGCATACTATGTATCTTCATACACACTATATGTATAAATAATAAGTAATTGTTTGTCATGTACATGCGGATATTATTAAGTATGGGTGTATGTATTATAAGGGAATTTGAATAAATTTTACATTAATCTATAAAATGGAAATTATTTTATGCTATTTTAATCGTTTTTTCCATTTACAACACATGGCCATAACTACCAATTAAAAGAAATAGTATGGAGTTCTAATAATTTAAACTGCTGCGAATCGCTCTAATGAATTTTATTAATAATTTTCGATGATTGGCTTTGCAAAATGTTATTTAAACGTAAACTAAGATTAAATGAAGTTACAATTCTGTTTAATTTTATTAAAATTATCTTGCACGTTAAATATTGACTACAATATTTGCAATATTTGGTTATATAAATGGAAATCATCTCGGTATTTTAAATGTTTGTGTGCTCAGTTTAACCTGCAATTGAATGGCATTTTCAGTGCTTTAGAAGGAAGTATTTAAAGAAGGACATATAATGTAACATAGAATGTAGATGAAGTTGTTGCACCTGATTTTTTTTTTATGTACAGGATTTATTATGTATCCCGAATTTGCCTGATTTATGTTCGAATTTAACAAAAAAATCTGCAACGAATGAAAATATGATCTGAAATGTACACGAATTTGTCAAAAGTATAAAGAGTGTAATTGTGAAAGTTTACTTTCAAAAGGAAAAAAATATTGGAAAAAAATCGAAATACATAATCCCAAATGCTAGCAAATTTTCTAACTTAGAAATATGAACCAGATATATCGAATTCGCCATACATAAGTAATAAGCCTATTAATATTTAATTCTCTAATGAACATCCTTTTAAAGTAATATTTTCCCATAGGTCACTTTTACATATTTTCGTCAAAAAAGTAATGTCGTCATGCCGGTCAATATATACCAAGATTAATACAAAAACGCTTGTGAGTTTAAATAATGTCCATCATTTTCGAAAAGATTACTTAAATCTGATTATGAATTAATTGAGTCATCCAAAACTTCATAGTCTAAATCAACCTCTTCTATTTTCCCAGCTCCTGTGCATACACGACTTTTTTTTTTCTTTATAAAAAAAATATTTCTATTTTATTTTCTATTAGTAACAACATTTTTTACCGATCAACTTATTCAACACACTTATTTCTGTACTGAACAAATTTGCATGAAAACGACGCGAATTTACTCGTCATGATATTTCGAAGAAATGCTATGATAGGTAAAATTATTTGTTTTTTGTTTTACATTAATCATATTATACCTACATATGTACATATATGCATGGTCCTATGCATATATGTACATATGTACATATGCACTTGAAACATATTTTAATATAACACTAAATACACACAAACAATTTAAAGTATTTAAACAATTTAAAATACTTCCCAATTCTCGTCATGATGAAAAGGTCAGGCAAGTTTTGACGAGCATATTTGTCATGACCCAGGATTCCTGATTCTGGGTCCAGGAGTCTATGATTCCTGGTTTTGAGGTGAAGTATGAGGTTTTGATTCTATTATGACGAGTATACTCGTCTATGGCCGTGAGTGGGTTAAAATTTGAACATCATATTTAAAAATATTAGAATCAAAATATTAAGAAAGAAAGTTTTGCTTCAATTTTTTTTCACTCAATCAAGCCGCAAAATCTCTACCTTTTGAGCTTTTTTCAAGCATCATAACTAACGTAAGTGATTAAAAATTAATTTATATTAAATAGTAACTATATAGAATAAGAATTTAACTACTAGATTTTTATGTCAAATAAATAAAAATATTTAAATATGCAATATTAAAAATATCTACACAAAATAATCAAACAAATATTTCTCTTTCATTTTAGAGATACATACACACATATCTACATAATATTATACATTATATAGGTTATATTTAACTTTTCGCAAAATAAAAGGAAAATGAAGAGTAAATGTATAAGAAAATTTAATATTTATTATAATTTTCCTATTTGCTTAATAAAATCAAATGAAATTCTTTTGTTTTATTATTTACACTTTATGCTTCGTTTATTTGCGTCATGTTTTAAGGTACAAATTGAGGATTTTAATTTTATATTTTGCTAAATGAAATTACTTTTAGTGTTTTGATCTTTTTTTTTTCATTTTTACATTTTAGATTATTATGGCTTTTTAATATAACTGGATAAAAGATTTTTCCAAAGACGATAATAACCATTTAAATATAGGGAAATTTTTTTTGAAATTTTCTTTTTATAATATGCGGAATTTTTAATGGACAATCTTAAAATCTAATTAAATAATCTCGTAAATAACGAGCAATTATTATTGGATTCTAAATTTAAATTCCAATATAGCTTTTGTTACAAAAACAAAAGCAAAGCATTTTGTTAATTTATATCAATTATTATTCTTAATCGTATTTCAGGCCAAATTTTTGTAAAATTCTTTAAAACGATAAAGGTCAAGTATTATTTTATAAGAATATAAGAATATAAATTTAAGTCTAATTCGTCGAGCCAATATCCTTCGCAGTTTTCAAAAAATCATTTGTTGGTTTCCAGTTTTTTTAAAAATTGTGAGTAAGCACCATCGAACTTCTATAAAAACAAAACTGTTAGTTTTCAAATACACATTATTACACCACTCCTAAATTTATGCAAAATTTATTATGTCTTGTCTTTACTAAGATATGTTTTTAAAAAAAGAAAATAGATCACATTCGCTTTAGACTTAATTTTGGCTAAAAACCGAAATGTGCTATTTTGCAAACCATAAGATTTTGGTCGATTGCATTTTTAATCGTACAAATCTAAATGTTTCATATACATAATAATTTGTAAAGGATATGCAGACACTATGGTCAATATCGAACTGTAGTTTAACATAAAACAAGTAGGTTCTTGAAAGTTCTTTCGAATTTCAGGCATTATTTCAAATTTTACATGTATAAAAAACATATTTTAATATTTTTGATTATCCTTACAGAATAGGTAAAAGAGTTAATGTAAGTACTTGGTACTACGAATCTTGTGGAATCGATTACAAAAAATACCATTTTTAATAGAATTATACTGTGTATCGCAAATTTAGTTAAACTTCCATTTAAGAATTGCAATTTCGGTGAAATTTTTAAACCAATTTTTACTTCGGCAATGGAATTTGTTATATGCGGTCAAAAAAATATTAATTTTTTGCTTTTCTCCGTATGCTTGGACGAATTTTACCATTCTATAACGTGCTTGTACGTATTTCCAATTTATCACAATGTTATTAAATTAAATTTTAACTTGTCTCTAAATATAGGTATGACATATTGTATACAGTGTAGAGAATGTGAAGGCATTAAACTAATTTTTCAAAATGAATAATAATTTTTCAATTGCATGATTTTTTAACAAATAAATATAGGACACTCAAAAACATTTAGAATATTTATAAAACCATATTTAAATAATTTAGTCAACCTGAAACAATCCACAACTCAAATTTATAAATTTTCTTAGATTCTTATTGTTTTGTTCTTTAATATCAAAGCTTCTTTAATATCAAATAAACTTTACATACAAACAAACATAATGTACATACATGGAAATAAAGTTAAACCAAATTTTACCGTGATCAGACCTATTATAATGTTATTAAAATGATTACAGGAAATAAAAGAATTGCAAAATAAAAAATAGTAAATTCTCTTTTTTACCCCATCTACAATGGTTTTTCTTTTAGTTTTTTTTTTTGAAGACAAATTGTTGAAATGTTAACTACAAATGTATAATACAAATATAGAGTAAGTACCAAATAAGTGGAATTTATAATAAATGCTATAGAATGGAATACAATAGAATCTCGTTAATAAAATAAATAATTCGAAACTCTTAGGGCCCAAAGAGACATGCAATTTTTAATTTTGCAACTGTTTGTCTCATAGTCTTATATTTAAGCGCACACACATGCAACTATATGGTCGCATGCTATTAAGCAATCAAACAGTTTGTAAATTTTTACAAACTGCTTGATTGCAATTTTGAACTGACGCAATAGTTTCAAAATACACGCTGAACAATTCTACGATAAGCAGTTGCAAAACTAAAAATTGCATGCGTCTGAGCCCTTACGTTTTACCTTTAATTGACGAGGTGGTAGTAAATCTTACACCTTCTGCTTTTTCTCTTATAATTACTCCTTTATGTTGTTTTCTCACACTCTCACATTATCTGTAGCTTCATACTAATTCCTCCTATCTTATTCAGCGTTAATTTTATTATCGTGAAGCTATTGCAGCTATGTTTCATCAGCACCAAGTATTACAAATATTGAACTCGTGTTCAAATAAAATACATTTATGGGTCAGAAATAAAAACTTAAAGTTTTTCGAGGAAAATAGAAATAATAATAGTAATTTTGAGTTTTTTTATTTAAATATCTAATAATAGCTAACAAATTTAATAAAAATAATTTTTTAAACAGTGCTGTGGAGATTTCCCACATACCAATGCACTCACACAAGTTATATATAGATTCAATTGAAATTTAATAAAAATTTTCAATTAAAAACCAAACAAAATCCACACAACCACAACATATTTTTTAAATTTTATTATTTTTGTTTGTGTAAAGAAGATTTTACTGCAGGAAGACGTAGGATATAAAACAGTAAAAGTAAATAAAAAAAAAATATATAAAATTTTTTAAAAGAAAAACATTTAATTTATGTATGCGAATATGTACATGTATGTATGTATAAGCGCAAAAAAAAAATATCTGTGTAGAAAAAAAATTTTAACAAAATTTTTCGAAGCATTAAAATATTTTTAGTCACAAAAAAACTTCAGTTTAATAAAGAACTTAAAAAAGAAAGGATTTTTTATTTAAAATGTCGGATGGTGGCGGTGAACAAATTCAAGAGGTACAAAATCTTATTGAACTAGAGGAAGAAGAAGAAAAAGAAGTTAAACCAAAATTAGAGCTACCATTCCCTTTCGAAAAAGAACTTTATGATAAACAATGTAAAAGAATTTTTATCGTAGAAAAATTCGTGCCTACAGAAAGGGGTAAGTGTGCCTATAAGAAAATACTCGTTTCAATAATTATTTTCAGCCCCGTATAATGAACTAGAATAAAAGTAAATTTAAATTTTTTATAGTTATTCCAATTACAGAAAAATTTTATTCAAAATATGATAATAATAAGATAAGATTAAATGAAAAATTGTTTGTTCCTGTCATCGAGAATCTTCACAAGTTTCCAATTGAAAAATATTCAAAACCATTATTAGAAAGTCATAATATTGGATGGCCGTCATTGGATGCACAATATTTAAATAAAAATGTAAACAGAATATTAGCACCAAAATTACGTTGTGACTTAACAGTTTTTGGTGAAGCGTTAGGAAAAGAAAGGGTAACTGAACGTCCTGAATTTTCAGGTGAAAAATTTTTCCTAAGATAATTTATCTGCACAATTTTAGAATTACTAAATTTATTATGTTTATTTATAATTTAAAACAAAAAACTGTTCATTTAAAAATCATTTCAAAGTGCTTAATAAATTCCATAAGATTTTTAAATTTTAAAAAATTATTTGTGTATAATTTATAAAAATATTGTTAAAACATTTGCTGAACGGATGCAATTATTTTTTTATAATTGAAAATTGACACAATATTTTAGGGACATTAGAGAGTACATATAGAACAACCGTTTTTAAAATAATAAAATTGAAAATTCAATCAATTTGATATATTCAGCAATTGAAATTGTTTTGCTGAATAAATCGAGTTAACATTTATCTACATTTCAGTGTTTATAATATAAATATTCCGGATAAACCATAATAATAATATTAAATTTAACATAAATGCAGATTAAAGTGAATTTGACTTATTCAGCGATGTAATTCTAATTATTAAATAAATCGAATTGACCCTTGTTTTCATTTTTCTTTCCATTCTTTTTAATATTTTATAGTTTCTTATTTAATTTTAGCAATCTTTAGCTATTCAGCTAGCTAAAGTAAATAGTTTAACTATTATTATAATGGTATTATTATAATGATACATCCAATGATTTGCAATTTGCATTAATTATATATTTTTACAAAATTCAGCAACTACAACCCAACAAGGCTGAATCGTGTAATCATTTTTATTTATGCAGTTTGAAGTCAATGGTTCTTGACTTCAAACTGCATTGATTTGCTTCTATGGAAAAGTTTATATTTAGTTACATACATATACATAATATACATCTTTCAAAGTAATAGGGCGTATATCTAAAAGCTGATCTTACGTCATTATAGTTCATTATTATACAATTTGAATAGCTGAATCAGTCAATTTAAAGTTAAATCTTCATCTAGATGCTTTAAAAAATTCGGAAGTTAGTTTGAAGTTTATGAAGCTATCATAATCAGAAAACTATATGTAATCGATTCCTAATTGCCAACCAACACTGAACTGGTTTTATTCAGCAATTAAATTTGTATTCCTGAATAAGACTGAGGTAAACGTCCACGTTTAGTACATATTATTAACCGTAATATTTAACATTGCAAGATAACTTACAATTTAACCAATTTTATAACTTTAATATTAGAAATTGAAAGTGGAGCAAAAGTGTAATAATTTAATAAAGAAGTTTGTTACACACACCCTTATAGACATATATTTTTTGCATATACAATAAACGATGAATATTTTTAACTGTCAAGGTATTATCAAATAAATAACCAAAATGTCATAACTGAACATTATATCACTGTTAAAATATTAAAAGTTAATATAACCACCATACTCATATTATATAATATTTGTACATAATATAACTACTATGAACATGTACTACATTAAATAATTACAAACATAAATAAAATCATGCAAAACCGAACGAAAAATAATAAAAGAAAATTGTTTTATCCTTACATTTCACAAAAGAAAACCACAAATCTAAGGAATTAAAATTTTGTTATATCATGAATTTTCATGAAAAAAAGGAAAATTTGCGTGAGTTGAAGGTTTTTTTTTTTAATTCAACTTATTTTTTCCTTTTATTTATCTTTTTTACTAAATTCAATTTTATTGCAATAGGAAAATCAAGCTTGTTACTCTGTTCGTCCGTAATTCTTATATATTACAACTATTGATTGCTTTTTCGAATCTAAAGCAGCACTGATTCGCAATAAATTAAGCGTTTAGGAAAAATTCAGACTAAATTTATTATTGCAATTTTTATTGTGTTTTGACTATAAGAACTTTAATCGGCTTGAAATAGAATAGGAAGAAGGTATCTAGAAATTCTCATTTTGTATTTGCAGTAATATGATATTAATAGACAATTCAATAATTACAAGACATAAGCTGAACTGTTGTATCAAGAGATTTTCCCTGCAATTTTAAAGTTACGTTCACTATTAATTATAATATATTAATCAATTATTTAAGCACAAACGCCATGCCAATATTGTATGAAGCGATATTGTCAAAAATGACAAAGAAAATTGTAAACAATGAAATAAAAAATTTACCTAAACAAATATTGACTTATTGCTACATTGGAAACCGTAATTTTCCTGCTGGTTTCATAACATTCATGATTTCAATATACTTTCATACGTACAATTCAAGTACCCTACATACAATGAACAGAAAAACAAAGATTCATGAAGAAAAATTAATTTGCTTGAAGGTAAGAAATATAAAGACCCCACAAAAAAGGGTAAGAACTCATTCTACTTTTTAAAAGAAATTTTTTTTTTGTTTTCTTTTCGAATTCTTTTTAACCTTTAACTAGTTTATTTGTGGTAACATATTTAACCGTGATTATAAGCAGAAATTATTTCAATTATTTCCTAAATCTGCATGCAAAAATTAATTTATTTTTGCTGACTTTCAAAATGCAGTAATACGGACACAATACGCAACTCCGTTTGCAATTGCGAATTGCTGACTTGTAAATTAATACGGTATTACAACATTTTGGAAGTCAAGGTTTTTCAAAACAAATTCATAGTCTAATTGCACCTATTTTTATTATTGCACCAAAATTCATAAGAAGTGCCACGCAGTTACATATTTATAGTGTGATGTAAATTGGCTTATTAAGTATTCATAAAACCTTGAAGTAAGAATGCATATTCATAAATGCATGAATACAAGAATGCATGTCTATAAAAATGCAGATTATCTAATTTCAACTTAACTTATTCACTAATACACAACTTTGAAAGCTTGATAAGCCAGATTACAGAATAGTCTGCACTTCGGATTACCAAAATTAACAAATTTACTTACGATTAACAGAAGTGAAGATTCGTTGTGACATATTATTTTTGTTTTCTTTTTTCTAAAGTAACCGAAGCATAGCCACTCTTCGAAAATGTTTTGCTTTTTTATTTTTTATAATTTTTATATTTCTAATTATTTTACAATAGTTTTTAATATTATTCATAAGCAACAATATTTTTAACAATTTAATGAATTTAGTAAAAACTAAAAATAAATAAAATGTGTAAAAAAACGTAACACGACTGTAACACCTCACAACGTTATGTACACAAGCCGCGTTTACACAAAAATTAATCTAAATACTTAAAACAATTTTTTTTCTTTTCATAAATTAAATATTATAAATTGCCTGCTGAAAATTTACTAGATGGACCAAAATAACTTAAAATTACTGGTAATAAAACTAGACCGTGTACTGCACCTATTAGTACAATTCCTAAATACATTCTAAAGTAGAATATTTGAAATATTTGAGATTTAGAAAATGCTAGTACGAATATTCCAGCAAATTTAGTTAAAGTTATACCAGATAGAACACTACTACCAGTTATTGACAGTGATTCTTTAGAACGCTCTAAAGCACTACCTGATGAATTTTTATATGCTCGAATTATATGAGAAATAAATTCTACACCTATTCCAACGCTTACAACTAAATTAACAAGGGATACGGCATTAAGCGTTATATTCCACGACCACATCATTCCGCTCATGTTGACCAAAATTAAGGTGACCATAAATAATACCATAACTGAAGATATTATATCAAAACCACTTATGACGAAAGTCACTAAAAAGATTGCTAATAGTGACAAGCCTAATGAAAACAATGCATCGTCCCATATTGTCAAATATTGTTCATAAAATACAAAATAAATACAATATGGGAATATTTTATAAGTATAACCTGAATTTTTAAACATTTGATTAATATTAGAGCTTATTTTTCTAGCCTCATTAAGTGTAGTATAGAATTGTTTAGAAGTAACCGCTGTCATAGAAAACTGCATTAAATATGTGTTATCAATAACAACACTATAATTTCTGTCCATATGATATGATATAGCCTAAATGAGAAAAAAATTTAAATTTATTAATTATAATTCAATAAATTTCAGAGAAATAAAAGCATCTTTGATCTTACATCTGCATAAGCAGCTCGGCCAGCTTTTGCACATTTAGCATCTGGTATATCTGACAAGAAAAATATTAAATATTTGTTAAAAGTTTCTTCTGTAGGACGAACATTGTCATCAGAAAACTTAATTTCACATGGTTCACAACTGTCAGAATTCGGTTTATCTAAAATTGAAAGTTACTCAGTATAATTCACATAATATAACTTAAAAATTTTACATACTTCTATGGCAAAATTCCCCATTTGTTTTATTAACTCGACAGCACTGTTCTACACTTAACCAATCAATGTAATCATCAACCCATGATGAAGCAGGTCTTGCCAAATTAGTTCTGTTATAAAAAAAAATTATCATTGGTTATTTCTTTTTCAGGTTTACAAATTATAATTTGAAGTTCTAACTTACATTTCTGGATATTGAGCTGCACTATATAATTGATTTGAAATAGAATTGTTATTACAAAGAATGCCACCACAAATTAAATTTTGTACTGGACGTTTTTCGTACTCTATACTCGTACTTAATACCCAATAAATTGGAGGACCCATTGCTAAAAGTTCAGCCATATACTAAAATTTTTTTTCGATTAGTTTGTATATTAGTTGAAAAAAAATTATTTACTTCAAAATATTTTACAACATGAGAATTTTGTGGCATAGATAGTTGTTGATCTAATCCTGGTTCAATTGAAGGAATCACCATTATTGAAAATGTAGTCCACAATGTAAAAGCAACTAAAACTAACGCCCGCATCCACCTTAAAAGATCATATTTTTGTAATATTTTTAAGTTTAAAAATTGAACTTTAAAATTCAACTTACTTGGAAAGTAAAAATTTTGAATAATATAATGAGAAAAATTTTTCCAATAAACTAATTTCACCGTCTAAAGTCTTTTCATATTTTTTAGTTTTAATGCAGCAAAAAAGATCGAGCCGATTATCATTGTATCGGCTTTGGTCTAGACTCATGATTGCAACAAAAAGTGAAATTTGCAAGATAAAGTCAATCAAAATTGCTGCTGCAGCATACATAGCGAATGTGTTAACTGCTGGCATATCCGACAAAGTTCCTGATAAAGAAAATAAAAATATAACAAAATTAATAAAAAAGCTTTTCGGCAAAGGAATTCTCCTTTTCATAGAATTATTTTTCGTATCAAAAATCAAATTTACCTATAGCAAAACAAAAAAATTCGGACATAGCTGTTTGTAAAATTGATGGTCCAACATTACCTACGGCACGACCAACACCTTCTTCTATACTTAGATATTGATTCTTATCTAAACGATTATAAGCATGAACCATAATAAATATGTTGTCGACTCCCACAGCCAATACTAAAAAAGGTATAACTTCGATCGCCAACATTGTGGTAGTCACACCCAAATATCCCCAAAATCCTAAACTACAAAGCACAGACACTAGAACAATAGTAATTCCCCCCGTAGCTAACACAATTTTGGATTCGTTTAAGAAATTTTTTAACGATTTGAGTTTACCCAATGAAATCATAACATAAACGAACATTACTAAATAACTAATAACTACTGTGGATGTTTCATTTTCAGACAATTCTTTTATAGCATCCTGAATTGATCGTTCTGCTGAAAATGCAATATCAAGATTTTCATTTTGATAATTTTTCAAAAAATTGACAAATTTTTGTTCCCAATCTAAGGCCCGTTGAAGATTTTGATTGTCTAGATGATTTTTAACTAAAAACGTTATTACTATAGCTGATGCGGTGCGAAAATCTACGCTTGAATTTGATGTAGGCTTATCCATCCCGCCCACTGCAATGCCTGGTTCAATTGGACCTCCGTAAGGACCCAAGCAATCTTCTGCCATTGGAGTACTGCATAAAATACATAAATTTAATATATACATATGTTGATATGAATATGCAAAAAAGAAAAATGCATCTAAACAAAAAAGAAGTAATCTTCAATCTTACACTAAACAAGTACTCAAAGTTTTTAAATATGCCGTATTATTTCCCTCCGACTCTCTTTTAAATTTTTCAATATCATTTTTAAAAAATCCGAATACGGATTGGATTAAGCAATGTTGTAACGTTGGTTTTTGTCCTGGAAAAGTCATAGGAGCATAACAAACTTCTTCTAAACCAATATTGTTATCAGATTTTAATTCCGCTATTGCATTTTGCAATGTAAATACTTCAATTAGAAAATCCTTTTGAAAAGCTGCTCCAAATTTTACCAATTCTCCAGCTGAAGTATTATAATACGTCTAAAATATATTATTAATATAAAATAAGCAAAAATAATATCAACACCTGTATGTATGTATGAATAATCATAAAATTACACGTAACTTACATTTTCATATGTCCTTGGTTTTATAAATATTTGGTTTGTTCTGTAGAAAGGGCCAAACATTTCATCAAAATTTCTTTTCTCAATTCTTGACAAGCTATTTTCACCTGCCCACAGTTCAACCGGATCTGTTGTAATTTTCATAAACTGCATTCCATAAATCAATATCGCACACACCCACGAACTTATACATAACACTATAACGGGATATTTCGCACACATATAACCCCATTTCTGAAAAGCGTTTTTCAATGCAATATCCATGAAATCAAATCCACCGCAAAATCTTGGTATATTAATAACGCAACTTTTTATTAACGTTATTATTGCAGTCAAAGTGCCCAATGCACCAAATACAACTGCGACTATAAAACTAATACCATTAAATTCGCCAACTTTAAAATATTCTTCCTCAATTTTTGGTGGTTGAGTTATTGGACAGGAATCTTTACAGTCCATACAAGCACATGAGTAAGACTGATTATATGCCTCACTACATTTCAGAGTATTGGCTGTAAAACGATTTTCCGGATTGTCCACATACTTATAATCAATTTTAAAAGGCACTTGCTCATTAATTTCGGGATCTCCCAAAAATTGATAAAATCTTTCTGCGTTACAAGTTCTGGAATCATATGGAATGCATGTAATGTCCATTACTGGTCGCCCGGTCATGGGATGAATAACCTCTTTGCAACTATTGTAAACCATTTCCGTAAAATTTTTATCTATCCGGTATTCGATTTCGGCAGCATATTGATCTTCTCCAGTTTCTTCAAAACTAGTCACGGTTAAAAACTTTCGATGACTTCGACTACAAGTCATTGCACATATACCTAAAATCAAATTTGACATACAAGTCGGACACCGCTTAAAAATCATCTCAGCTTGTTGAATGCCTTTTTCCATAGATCTAATTTGTTTTGCGTCGCAACACAAAACAGGATAATCTGTTGAGATGATTAGATTAGTTAACACATTGCATAAAATTGTAATGTTTACAAGTAAATAGAAAGTACTAAATATTTGAGTCCCAAAAATGTACACGAAAAAAGAATCGTTATAAAAGAACATTCTTCTTTCAAGAAAATCAAATGTAAGGCTCAATAACTTGATGAAAAAATTCGTTTTTCATCTTTTGTAAGTAAAAAATCTTACCATCTTCTAGTGACTCTTCATACAAATCCGGGCATCGCTTTTTAAATATTTCAACTGCATCATTTTCCGTTAACTTTTCTGCAGGAAATCCTTCTTCCGTAGCACAGTTTTGTGGGAATTCTCCAACAATACCACATTCTCCAAGCCAAACGCATTCATTTTCGGTGGCGGCAGCTAAAACCGTTGAGATGCAAAACCAAACCGTACCAAAAAGTATTTCTAAGAAAAAAAATTTTTTTTTTCAATTGAATTGAAAAAATATTATAAAATATTTTTTTTTGAAATTGTTTAACTTCAAGGTATTTTTTTAATTATTTATGAACTTTTCTTCTTCCTTACAAATTTTAAAATTTCAAATTTTTTATCACACAATCACAACTTTTGTTGCTATGGGATAATAAAAATGATTAAGATACTATCGAGCACAAGGTGTTAACAGAGAAAAGGTTTACTTTTAATATTAATTTCAAAAAACAGGTTGTAAGCTTGTAGTAAATTGTTCACTGCTATTCCACTCAGAAGATATTTATTCAGTAAATAGTTTGATTTAATTTTAAAATTAAAATATCCAATTTTTTATTTTCTTGTAGTTATTCAAAAATTACGGGATTACGGTAAAAGAATTTGAGATCATATACATATTGATCACATATCTACTTACATATGTATGTATATTTGTACATGTATACATATATACATATAATTATATAAGAAGTCTTTTATGCACAGTTGACAGAAATACAATGATTGTATTGCGAAGTAAGCTTTGATTTCAAAAACTTCTTTTGCCAAATTTAATTTTTTCGACTACTAGCACATTTTCCTTGTTTGTTTGTTAAATATGTACATAAATATACATGCACATGTACATATGTTTTGTATGTGCATGTATATTTATGTACATTTTTATTTTATAAATATTAATTATACATATATTATTTTCACAGATGCGTTTAGAAAAATAATTATCCGCATACTGAAGTATGTAAATTAAATCAAATTTTTGTAGTACAAATACAAGGTTCCAGGTGAATAATGAACTCGCTATGATCACAGACATCTTTATATTATATACATAAGTACATTATAGGAGTCTATGCTATGATCAATTTTAAAATACACACATAACATTTGCATATAAACATAATACGTATAATTGTAGAACGACCAAATACAATGGCTTTACATTTCAAAATTTGCATTTTTTACAAATGTGATAAAACTTTACGCTTTATTTACACCTTTTTTCCTTCATTTCTCTCACTCTATCAGGTTATAATGAGTGTAGATTATCGTAATAACATTTATTATTATACATAGTAACGTAAAAAAATTTTTAAATTAATTTTAACTTGGTTATTAAAATTTAAAATAAATAGAACGTCCTAATGTACCCTATTCATGATAAATTACCAGATACATATTTCAATTATTTTTACAATCTTCATCATTATAGTTATTATTGAGCTAATTCACACTTTTCATTTAATATTTGTTTTTTATTTTTATTTTCGCTACGTAGGATCATAAAATTAGCAATTTAGCAAGATAAAAAATAAAGGATTTAACGTTTTATTATGTATCATGTTACGCTATGTTACTATGTATTATAAGAAATGTGTATGTATGTATAGTATATTCATATGGATGTATATTTGAAAACTTTCATCCACCTTACTTTTGAACTTTAATATTGCGGTAAATAGTTATATAATTACAAATTTTTCTAATATTTCAATAAATTTTTGTATTTATACATAATATACACAATTCTTTTGTCTAAAAATATTTTAAATTTAAAAAAAATAGCATGCGTATATATGTAGGTACATACATGTATAATTTAAATTATTAAACTATAATGCCTTAATTTCTTTTGAGAGATGAGAAATCACTCATCTCTACGTGTTGAACAAAATAACTTGATGACAATAAAATCCATTTTGTAATTTTATAAAAATTAATTGTTAACATTTAACATTCAAAACGATGAAATTATTGATATTCGTTTGATTTAAATGATAAAAAACATTTGTTTGGAAAACATATATATATACATATATCTATATGTAAGTACAAAGACTCCAAAGCCTTGAAACATTTTATCACTAAAACTGTAGCGGAAATGACAAAACGAGTTATTAATATTGATTTAAGAATTTTATTTTTTTAAATTTATTATGCACACACTAAATTATACACTCGCCAACTTTATTTTGTTAAAAATTTCTCTTTCCTAAATAAATTTCTTGAGGAAATTCAAATTTAGAAATTGAAAACATTCAATTAAAAGAAATTTTTAATCAAATTTTAAATGATTGAAGTTAAACAATATTTAATTTGAATTCTATTAGTAATACTTCTCATATCGTAAATGTTTCTTCGCTTTATTATTATTTGACCGCTTACCAGCTTAGGACTGAAATCACATTTCGTTATTTTAATTTAAAATGGAACGCAAGAAGCATAATTTCGAAACAACAGTAAATTTAATATAAATGTTCATATATTGATATACGATTAACGATAATTTAATAAAAGATAAGAAGTCTTAAACACCTGTAGGTCGCTTTGATAATACCTTAATAATTACGATAAGATTTAAATAGCTCGATGAAACACCTGCTCTGATACCTTAATAATATGTAGTAATCAGTCAAAGTTGAAATACATCCATATGTATTGGTTTTGTAAGTTCAAACTTATACTTTGAATTTCATTTTATACCATAATTTAATTTAATATTACTAAGTGGAATACTAACTGTGTTCAATATTTACATACATATGTATGTTCGGTACGATATTAGATTTTCAGAATTTATTTGATACCTAAGTTTTATTAAAAGCAACTTACAATAATATTGAATGAAACATTTTAATATACAAAATTTATTTTATTATATTTTTAAAAATAGATGCTTAATTACTCAATTGTAAAGGTAGAAAGTGCTTCTTAATTTACCATCTTCCGCGGCCTCCTCCACCGCCACCGCCACCTCTACCACCACCTCCTCCTCCAAATTTTCTAAATCCACCTCCACCTCCTCCTCCTCCACCACCACCTCCTCCTCCACCTCCTCCTCCACCTCTTCCACCCCTTCCACCGCCACCTCCTCCTCTTCCTCCACCTCCTCCGCGGTTGAAACCTCCACCCCTACCATTTCTGAAATTCGACCCAGAACCACCTCTTCCACGGCCACCACCTCCTCCTCCTCCACCTTTCTTAATACCAGGAGCACCTTTTGGTTTTGGCAAAAATCTAGATAATGGTAATAACTTTTGAGGATTTAAGTATAGCGTCTGATCCTTTTTAAAACTGGAGGCTTTCATATTTTCACATAATTTTACTGACACAGAGTAATCTCTAAGTGTTCCAAATATTTCGTCAATTTTGCCAACTTGTTCTTTATTCTCTAAATAAACTGGAGCACTAAAATACGGAACATCTTCAATGTTTACTTTACAAACGAGATCACCTTCGCAGGGATATGCAAATGTTCCGAAAGGAATAACTCTTTCTGGAGGTCCGGTATCAAAATTTCTTTGGCCTCCTCGTCCTCCTCTGAAACCCCCTCCTCCCCCCCTTCCACCTCCTCCGCGATGTCCACCACCACGATTTCCACCACGGAAACCCATTTTCTTCCTTTAAAAATTCAATTTATGCTATAACTGTTAAAAATATTCATTTTAACTAAGAATTTTAATTAAAAATTAAAAATACCCACTTAAAATTTTAAAAAACTCTTTCTTCAAATTTCTTCTTTAAAAATACTTTCAGATTAATGATTTGTTTTTGATTTCTATAAACCTCAGTAATACAGCGAAAATTCAAATCAGCACGTGTAAAACTGAGTTGTCAAATTTCAACTAAAGATGGGAAGTTGAGTTTTGCAATTGTATCAATTCTACTGAATTGGCTACTGCCTTAAGAATTTTTAAGTTATTTAATAGAGTCTATTTTTCTTTTTCTTTCTAATGGAACTTCCCGTTTAACCATTTTCGTTAAACAATTCTTTTAACTTAGAACTCATATTGTTTTTCAATTATTGCCATGAAGTAATTGAAAATTTAAAATAGTTTTTATTCATTGAATATTCAAAACACTACTTCAAAGCTAACACAAAAAGAATAAAATACAGAATTATATCTTGTAATGTCAAACTTTTTCCTTTTAATCGGGTATTTGTTTATTCCATTTATTTGAAATATTCCATCAGGTTCCAAGAATATTCTAATCTATAAGCTATGTATGTAAAAAAAAGTAGAACCTTTATGTAATAAGTTAATATTATGTAATAAGTAATAAGTTAATATTATGTAATAAGTAATATTACGTAATATTATGTGGTCAAAATATGGTCTGATCCTAAAAAGAACAAAAATTTTAACTCCGAACCTTCAAAAAGAAAAAGAAACGAACAGTGCTCTATTCTTTGACATTGATTTGAATCTGTCAGATGTAAAAAACGAAAAACCAAAGAGAGAGTCTTAATAACATTTACATATACAACCAAATGTAAGATTACATCTGATGGTAATGTCTGATGACAATGCTCTGAAATTTATAAGTGTTATAGCTAAAATGAAAATCAGCTAATAGTTGTCCGAAACCTTCGCAAAAATTAATTGGCGCTATTTTACTTTTAAAAAACCTATATGTTAGTAAAACTTTTGAGAACACAGTAATTTCTTATGTTTTGCAGTACGATATCAACAGTATTTACATGTCCAACTTTAAGCAGACTCATATTATATCTTACATTTTGTTTTATACGTATGTAAACACTTAATACAATTAAAACAATTGCTATATATATATTTTTTACGAAAACTGCTTAATTTCTTTCATAAATTTTCGTTTTCAAAAGTTCCTACTTGTGAGAAGATTTTTTTAGAATGGTGGCATAATGCAAAAAATTTTGAAGTATACGTAGGAAATTATGGTGTATACTTTGAAAATTGCTTGACAAGTAAATTTCTTGACAGTTTTCATAATACTTTTTCCAATGGGTGTATACATAATATAATATTTTATTTTAAAATGGGTATTTTATTTATTCAAATTATTTAAAAATATAGTCAAATTTTCATACTTCTTAATTTATAGATAATCTTGAGTTTGAAATGCTAAAAGCACTATATGATTTTCAAGCGGTGTATCCCAAAACAATAAGTTTTGAGGAAGGTAAGTTTTATGAAGGAAAAGTAATTTTTTGTTTACTTCGGTCAGTATAGTTTTTGAATCATTGTGCAATTAATATGTGTATTTTTAAATATCATTACATATATTAAGCGAAATTAGATTATTTTTTAAAATATATTAAGTTTAATGCTCATTTTTACATATTTTAATTTTTAGGTGAATATTTCATTTTATATCAAACTTCAGCGAGGCAAAGGTAATAAAAGTTACATTTTTTCATTTAATATGTATTTATTATTTTTATTAATTCGTTTCAGAAATTGGTGGCAAGTAGTTAGTATCAAAGGAAACTTAGGCTTTGTTCCTTCCAACTATGTCAAAAAAATCAAGGTAATTTGTGTATATTGATTGAGAAACTTTTTAGATAAGTGCTTACCTATTTAGCAATCTTTAATATCTATTGATGCTTTTGATGCAATAATTGTATAGCAATATGTATACCATACTTATTTGTGTGTATATCTGTTTATTAAAGAACATTTGGTTCGTTGAATATGGTATAATTTATATACATTTCTGTTATATTTTTCTGATACATACTTGATGGATATTCGGTTTGGTGTACACATTTTTAATTTTACGTGATTTTTCTATCGAAAAAAAAGTGAAAACTTTGTCGAAAAAACTTACAGAAATTGCAATGATTACAAGTTTTCAATATTTTTCTAACAATTGATATATAGCAATAAAATATATTCCAAATTTCCTTATTTCTTAAAAATTTCTGACCATATGTAGGCTTATACAAGTGTTTATAAAATTCAACGTAATTCATTTTTCATTTAAAAATTCTAAATAAAGTTCTAACTTGAAAATTGTAGTCTTAAATTTCTCAAATTTTTAAAAGGTTGAACCAGAATTTTTATTTAGTTTCCTTGACTCAAGTATAGAGAGCCTTAAACAGTCGAAGGAAACTGAAATTAATGGAATAATGAATAAAGATGAACTACTTAAGAGATTGGAAGAGAAGAAAAATGCTGTAGAACATTCGATAGAGGTATGATATGTCTTTTTTTATATATCTAGTTACTTTTCAATTAATTGTTCACGAATTTCAGCTCTCTGATGATAATGAACAATACGAATCACCACAAAGAGAAATGGAAAATAAACGAGCACAAAGTCCTTCAAAAAAACTAGAGTCAAATAGAAAATCTATGTCAAGTCCTGCAATGTCCACAAATATTCCACCGCAAGTCATACCAGAAAGCCCCAGTATAAATATTCTTAGTACAAAGTTAAATGATATAACTCAAGATAATAGCATTACCTCAGAACCATCAGAAACAACCACAACACCTACCACAACAACAACGAGTGAAGATGTAGTTACAATTTGTAAAGACGACAATGCAACGCCCCAGCAAAATGGTTCTAATGGAAACAGTGCAAAATCAGTTTTAAATAACAATGAAATTTTTGAAGAAATTATTACGGAGGAATTTGTTGACGAAGAAAAGTCAGTTGTGAAAAATGATCAGCAGTATTTTGAAAAATCTAAAAATGAATTGACAAAGTCGTACAGCAATGAAAAAGTACGAATTGAATCGAAATTGGTTGCGGTTGAATCTCAAGATGTGTATCAAGTAGTTGATGTGATCAGACGAAATACCAACTTGAGTTTCGACTTATCCTGTGAAGCATTGCGAGTTGTTCTTTCTAGTCTTGAAGAGTTGTTTCCAAATGAAATAACAACTTATTTAGAAGCTGTAGCTGTACATGTTGCCGATAAACTGGAAATTCCGAGAGATTTTCTTGGTGTAACACACGATGCTAAACGATTGCAATATATTTTTTCTCAATTAGCTGATTGTAAAAATGATTCAGAACAAAGAACTTGGATGCTGTATGAAGATGAAGAAGATATTGTGCAATTTTTGGAAGAGTTAGTTGATATACTGGTATGTTCTAATATTAATATATGCATATGAATATGTGTGTTTAATGTAAGATTTTGTATATAGAAAAATGCTGACGAAGCCATATCCTGTCACGAAATGTCTAATGATCAATATCAAAGCTTAATTAATTTGGTTCAGTATTATCAAATGGAAACTAGATGGCCTATTAAACGTCTTCTAATCAAAGTATTCACTGCCGCTTGTCGTTTAGATCATATAATTGTAGATATCTTACTTACATCTGTTTTGCCTTTGGAAATAGTACGCGTGAAATTTTAATTTTAAATACTGTAAACTTTATATATAAATTTTTTATTTTTAGGTTGAAGATATGAAAAATAATTTTTCAGACATAGAAAAATTTAAACAATTTGTGAAAATTCTTACTGTAATTTTTTCTCTTGGTCAAAAAATGCCTGTGACGCATCAAGGTATATATAAAATTATTTCATTAAGCTTTAATTACAGTAATTTTAATTTTTAGAACAACTTAATGTTAACTTTGTAAGCTTTCTTTTCGATATAGTAGAAGAACAACAACATCCAGAAGTTCTTATAGATTTAGTAATATCATTAATTCTAGCATTTAATTTACAATTTAGTGAATTAACGCAGAACATAGTAATAGAAGCAATGCAAAAACTTTCTTCAGCTAAAACGTTCACGGAAAAAATTCTTCTTTATTTGAATAGGGAAGGTAAAAATGTTTAACTATGTGAACTTTTTATAATAAGTACTGAACATTTTTTGTTATTTGCAGAGGATCCTGTTAAAATTCTAAAGCATTCTTCGAATTGCATAAACTCAGTTTTAAAAATTTTTATAGATATTTTTAGTCTTTCGGAAACTGCTAATTTATTTTACACAAATGACGTTAAAGTTTTAATAGATATAATGGTCAGACAGCTTTCTGATTTATCAGCAGGCGATAAAGTAAGTTTTCTATTATAATTTTCAGCAAAATATTAAACGTTTGTTAAAAATCTAAACATTCTTTTTAACAAAAAAATATTAAAAAGAATGTTTAGATTTTTATATGAAAGAATATATGGTCAAAAGTAAAATTTTCATATTTTGTAAAATTATTTTTCGTATTTTCTGAAATTTATTTTACATATTAAAATAAATTGCAGATATTTTTGCTTTCGTATAATATAATACATGCATTGGTAGCTTCAAAATTTTTATAAAATTATATAATAAAAATATAAATGTATATTAATATCATCCTACAAAAAGCAAAAAAAAAATTAAAATTTTGAAACCTGAGAATATAGTTAGTTGGTTTTAATAATTTCTTATTTTTTCTTAAATAATATTTATTAAATAGTTTTGTGATATTTTTTCTTTTAAAACTTAATAGTTTTTTTATGTTTGTTTTTTTTAAAGCTTCGCCGAAATTATTTAGAACTTTGCAGAAGGATTCTACGTAACACAAATTACGAAGAACATACACACCGCAAACAGGATTTAATGAAAATCTTTACTCGTATATTTTGTGAGGAAACAGAATGCAGTTTAACTGATCAACAACTAGTAAGAACTATAGCTAATGAATTTCCTCAAATTTTCAAAGCATAAGAAACATGATAAAGGAAAAAAAGCCAAGTAAAGATTACCAGTTATAAATCCGCGTGTAACTATGTATAAGCAAAGGATCTTATAACAAAAAATATTTAACGATTTAGAAAATTTAAAGAAATTTTACGAAAAAGTTGGTTCATTAATTATTAATTTTTTTAGTAAAATTTAGAAAGTAATATGAGTGTATGACAATGTATACAAAAAAAAATTCAAGTACTAGTCTTCAATTATTCAACTGAAATTATTTTATTAACTCTTTATTGGCAAGTTATTCTCTTTTAATAACTAATTTTTATTTAAGTTTTAATTTCTAATTTTTACGTTCTAATAAGCTATCAATCTTAATATTGAACTCATTTCATTATATAATTGTATAGTTCTACTCTCTTATAATTTACGGGTCTGTGAAAAATTATTTCAAAAGCGTAACTCTTACCAAGTTATAAGATGATTTAAATTTACAAATTTAAATGACAATCTCATGATCTTTTCTGATGAAGAAAATTAAAGTTCAATTTACGAAATGTGTAAAAAATAGAGGAGGTAATAATGAAATCCATGAAAATGAGCATGAAAATCCATGAAAAATATCGACTAGATGGGAACTATATATTATTGTGTTAATAATAATGTAAATATTGTGGAACAATATACTACATAGACGAGAAGTATTTAATAAATTTGATTTTAATATAGAAATTAAAATTGATTAAATTTATTTATGTAAATTTGAAAAATGAAGAAAGAAGTGGTAAGGATCAAGGAGCAAAAAGATGAAATTGAGTAAAAGAAATTTTAAAAATAATTCTACAAAAAATAAAAGGTAAAAAAAATAAAAGTTAAAGAAAATCATATAGAAATATCAGAAAAGAAAAAGAAAAATTTATCTGTGCAAATATTCTTTTTAAATCTTCAACCAAAGAAATTACAGAATTTCAAAGTCGAAATTTTCGCAATACAGTAAGTAAGTACTAGCTCGTAACAGAGTAGTAAACTTAAGAAGGTTTATCAGTCAAGAATTAGAAAATCGAAAAATTTAAGGGAAACTAATAATTTGTCTTTTCCATTCATCATAGATTTGTAATTTTTTATATTGTTTTTTTCGTAATCTACGATATTTTAATTTAACAAAATACTTGCCATTCAAAATCCAGTTTGATATAGTATATTAAGAAATAACTTTGAAAAGTCATCAAATTTGAAATATATAAACTAGATTTTTAAAATATTATCGCATATAAAAGAAATAATTTATGATAATTAAATTTATATTGCTGATTTTTTTTTTTAATAAATATTTAAAATATATAATAACAAAAATTTATAAAGTACATTTATATGTAGTTCAATAAATTTTAAGTTTAATTTTATATATTAAAAGCTATAATAAATCACTTGCAAACAACATAGATCGAAGGTACCTACGTAAATTTGAAAAGGCACAAGAAACCAAAAAAAAAAAAAGAATTAAATTTAATAATACATTTTTTATTATACATACGAGTACATACATATTTCAATTAAGGAAAAATTTAAAGAAAAATAAATAAATTTCATTCCATATTTTGGCATTTTAGAATCAATATTAAAAAATAAAAACTATTAAATGTATTGAATTTTTTCAACGGGGATTTCTTTTGTTTTTTTTGCATCGTATGACATAAAATATAACTAAATAGAATTATTTCGCACAATCTTTATTAGAATTAAAAATTGTATAGTATTTAAAAGTATGTAATTTAGAGTTTTTAACAGTTTTCATAAATGCCACTAGTCAAAAAGTTTCTAAATTTGTGAAAACATTTGTATGAATTTTAAATATTTAAAATAATATTGAAATAGTTTTAAGCTTTTATATTTCTTATGATAAAAAAAAAACAAATACAATTTTACTCATATATTATGACTCTTTTATCAGAAATTCATTAAATCAATAATTTCAATAAAATAATAAAAAAACAAGAAAATATTAAAAATTTGGAATTATATTCTGGTATAAGCGTCTTCCAAAAAGTTACTTAAATGAAGCTAATATCTTTCAGTTTTTATTAGAAGTCAAAGTATAAAATTTAACTACCTCTTCTAATTAATATCAGAAAAGCATTCAAATCAAAATATGTACATATATTATTAAATTGGTGGGTCAGTTAATATTTTTTTACGATAACAATACCTTTTTTTAAAAAAACACAGAAAAATAAAATGATTGAAAACGAAAACTGTGTCAGGTCATAATATAATAAATTTGTGTATGCCTATTTGTAAATAATGCTCTCAATTTAATATTTTGTTGATTATCATTAATTTTTTTTATATATTCTAAATTGTAATAATTATTATTCGGGAGCAGAGCATTTATCAAATTTATAACAATAAGACAAACAAAATATATGTAAATTGTTTTAAGATTTAGCCATGACTTTAGCAATTTTAAAGTCTGTTAGTCATAGAAGGTGCTTTATTATATTTGTTTTACAATTTTTGATATTATTTTGAAATTTTTTTCTGAGGTAATTAAAAGTTTTGTAATATGATTTCTAAAAAAAACTTATGAAATTAATATGTACTGTTGCAACGCAAATTGAAAAAAAAATAATAAAAGATTTGAATACTAGAACATAATTTCGAACTTATAATAAAGTTATACGAAATATTTACATAGCTTAAAATTTATTAAAATTTTTAAGTCTATTACTCTGGTAATTTCGGATGTCTGAGTTATTGATACGACTAAACCGTTTCATCATAAATTTTTCAAATTCTTCAATTTTTCAATAAATGCGTATTCATTTTTAAATATGTTATTGAAATTAAATTGAAATACACTACTTACATCCTATTTGTAAAATTTCATTAATAAGCGTAAACCGTTCCAAATTTTAAAAAATATATAGACCATATTTTATGGTAAATAAAAACTTTAATATTCTAAGTGTTTACTTTTATAAGATAAAATATAAATCACCCACCTATTATCGATACCAATATTGTTTATGAAAGATATTAATAGACTCAAATAAAATTAGTTTTAATTTTTACGCTGTTAATTTTTATAGATTAAATTTTACTACCATTTATACAAGATCTAAACAAAGTTTTATAAGTACAAAGAAGAGGTATTTGTTGTTGTTTTTAATTTATAGTGATCTATGTGTGTAAAAGCGTTTCCTAAAGCGAATTAAATAACTTTTCCGAAATACATACCAAAAGTTTAAATATAATAAATAAATAAAATAAGAACAATTTTATATTCTATTCAAATTAAAATGAATAAACTTAAAATTTAAAAATAATATGTAAATGAAGCTCAAATTATTTATTCAATAAACCTACATAATTATTTATTCATTAGCTCTATTATTAATTAGTTCATTAGAGTTAATGTTATTTATGTAATAAGAAACTAGATTATTATGAACATGAGGTCGCCAATTCTCGCCCATTCGTATTTGAATTATGTAGGTATTTTGAATAAATAAATGAAAATTCTATTTAAAAACTTGACATAAACATTATTAAAAATATCATAATAGCCATAAGTTTTATTATCGAAAAAATATTTATTAAAATATAATATTAAATTTATTGACTTGTTAAGAATTTTTATGATATAAGCCAATTCATAAATAACTGTTTACCGTTAAAATAAAATATATTTTGTCTTTTTTTTCACGTTATTATTTTTAATTTTGAATTTTTTTGCCAAAAAGTAGTACTGAATTAAAGTAATAAAGTTAGTAGAAGTTGGAACATTTGTTATTAATATGTAAATCATGTTATAAATATAAGAGTTTCAGCTACATTTATTATACATATAGATAGGTTTTGTCAGTTTTTTAAACTGTATAGTAGTAATTATTTGAAAAAAATTGTAGTTTAATCAAATATATAAAAATTATAAAATAATTTATAAAATGAGTTTTTTTTTCAATTGTTCTTTTCAGAAATTTCAAGAATAGCACAAATACTAAGTTGGAAAGTTTTCAGCAATTTTGAAATGCGAAGTATTTTTTTGAAATAAAGTAGTATGCATGTACTTTTATATAGGTTCCTAATAAACACCTTGCTCCCTATTCATATATACTATGTATTTAAGCTTGAGGTTCGTTATAATGTTTTTGAAAGAACCTTTTTTTTCTAGCCTTCTCAGTTAAGCAATCTTACAAAAATAGCTTTCTAAATAATCAAAAACAATAAAAGTTCAAATTAAAGAATTTTTTAAATAAATCTATACATTTTTACTTCCATAATTTTGTTCACCCCGGGTTTTGGTAATTTTGGTAATCTCGGTAAATAGTTTGTTTTAAGCGAGAAATTTAGAGTTTCCTGGTATTAATACTTTCGTTTATCTTTGATTTAATGTAAGTTTAAAATATAATATTTAAAAATTTCCACATGTTATTGTAATTATAGTAAATGATATTAGTAAATTGCATTTTGAGAAATTGGGGAATCGTTCAAAAATTATGGAAGCATGAATTACCAAAAATTTAATGAAATATATTGTATACAGTTTCCAAACGCTACAAATAATAAAGATTGATCAAATTTTAGGTGTAAATTTTGCACTAATAATTTCTTTTAATAGAAGTATTCTTTTTCTTTAAAATATTAATATTTTTTTATTTTATAATGCTTCAGTTCAATGTTAGAATATAAGTCTAGTAAAACAAGCATATGTAAAGTAAAATATACAGGTTTAATATGACCGATATATGAAAATGCTCACATATTGTAGCATTTTTTGCTGCAATAACGTTTTCAAATATCCGAAATTTTCTTAGAAATTTAAAGAGAAATTTAACATTTGAAAAATAATTCGAAAACTTAAAATTTTAGATTTATTAAATTTTAAAAATTTAAAATAAAGAACTTTGCACATTACGGCCGTTTCCCAGTTTACCAAATGCGTGCAACTGACGTTAGTCATGAATTTCAATGCGACATGACTCCTGCGTCATAAATTTCTTTATATATTAACAACGCAATTGATTATAATTTTAGTTTTATTTTTGCATTTCTTTAATGACTGATGAATTAATAATTTTTATATGTCACAAAATTAATGACAAAGGAAAAATTTTCTGCTTTATTGAAATAATTTTCAAATGTGTCAATTTCGAAAATTGCTTAAATACAGATGATTGTCATTTGCAAAATCAAGCGAATGACGACATTATTAAAATAATTTTCAAATCTTACCCAGCATTTACACATACAAGTTACTTGCAAGCAAGTTTGTATAATATTAATTGTCAATTAGTTTTTCGAAATGTCAAATTACTTGCTATTATGACGTAGGCGTTTAGCAAGTTTATCTTTGAAAATGTCTTTGAGAAGAAAACAACTAGCAATATATATAATTGTTTATAAATTTTAGAAACCATAAGTTTGCTAAGTTTAATTTTTTCAAAACAAAATTCAAAAATTTTAAATTAAAAAAAAAAAAAAATCAAAACAACAAATTTTTTTTGTGAATTTCTCAATATGTCAAATTACTTGCTCAAATTACTGGCAGCAAAATTTTCTTGCAAGTTGAACTGCAAGTAAACAAGCAAGTAGAAATATTTCAATGTGTTAGTAAAATTTTTGTATGTATTGCAACTTTCTTGCAAGTAACTTGCACGTGTAAATGCTGGGTTAGACATACTGAGAAGCAGTCTATGTGATTTTTAAAGGTAAGATTTTAATTTAATTTGAAAAACAAATTTAGTTATTCATTCGATTTTTACTGTTAAAAGGGAAATTCGAAACAAAAAGCTGGAAAAATGTTGGTTGTACAGAATAATTTATTTTTGACATTAAATAAATAACGCTATATATGAATATGTTTAGTTTTTTTTTTTAAGCTAATAGGTAAAATTAATATTACAGAGAATGATTTTCACATATACATATTATGGTTTTAAGAATGCTGTATATTATTTTTTATTATTGTTATATTTTAATACGTTTATCATTGTTTTTTTTTTCTTTTTATAAAATACATTTATTTATTATAATTTTATTATATATAAGTATGTGTTTGTTATTACAATTGATTTTATTAATTTTTATTTTGTTTTATTAATAATTAATAATAATATTATATTAAAACGTATAAAGATTACTACTTAGTTTTCTTTTTTTTTTTTTTAAAAAATTGCTACAGATGGAAGAATATTTATTTTAAATTAATGTAAAATTATTGCTTTGATATACAAAATTTATTAATTTTTTTTAATGATAGCTTATTTATACTAAAAATTATTATAATAATAACATTAGTATTTTGAAATAAATATTATTATATTATTATATTGATCAATAATATACACACATCTTACATTATATGGTAACGATGAAGTTTTGAAAACAATTTTACTTGTTTTGGCAATTTGTTTTATATATAATAAATTTTTAAATTTCTTTATAATATATTAAAATTCAAGTTCGAGTACATTTTAAATATACATATACATATATATATATTTTTTTATTTATAATTGTTTTATTGATATTTTAATACTTAATTCGATATGTCTCTAAAAAATTACATATTGTTAAGTATAAAAGTTTATTAAAGAAGCCTATATAAATTATACTATCGCGCACTTTCTGAATCCATAATATTGAAATATATATTTCATTAAATTCATTTAGTTTTTTAATATTTATATTGCAAGTTAATATTTGTATAATTATATATGTATAACAATTAAGTAAAAATTAATTATTAAAATTAAGATCTATAATTAAAATTATGGTATTTAAATCATTCTTATATGTATATTTTATTAAAATATGAAAATCTATAATTAAGTAGGTATGTATGTATGTATATGTATATAATTTTGTTAATATGGTAAGAATTTTGAATGAAGATTTTCATATGATAATTTTAAAGGTTTAATAAATGATATTTATAAATGTAAATAAAAATAAATTTTAATTTCAATTTTTATAATATGGATTCAAAAGGATGAATTTTGTTTTTAAGATGGAAAATTAAATATTGTATATTTATAAAATAGTATAGGTATGTATGTATGATACTTGAACATCATTATATATGCATTAATCTTTGAATACAATGTGTTTTTTGTATATATTTACATTAAAGAGAAAACGAGTTGTTTTTTTTTTGTTGTTTTGCAAAAATTGTCAAAAAGCAAATGAAAATTGAAATTTAGATAAAATAAGAGAAAAAATTAAGAGATTTTCATGATTACTGCAAAACAATAACTGCAAAACGCAATACCGCAATATATTTTTAACTATTCTATAAAATTAAAACAGTTCATATGATTTAATTATGCTTTTCATACTACTTTCGCTGTATTACGAAAATAAATAATGTTTATAAACAAACTATGATAGCAACATTTGTTTGTGAACATATAAACATAGCGTGGTTTCAGTTATCGTGATATATTGCGTTTTTGAAAATATCGATTATATTTTGAATCGATTCATTCATATGCAAAAAAAATAGTACACGAACGTTTGTCTTATAAAATTTTATTCCTTTATTCTAATTTTATATTTTGGTTATTCATATTTTTTTTAATTTTAACATTAAAATTAAGCAAATTTATGAATTGAAGAGCAAATCTTAAAATAATAAAGACAAAATGTAATAATCGAATTTATTGATCAGGCATTCATAAAGAATGCAATAATTGAAACGAAAGTATATACATATATATATATATATATAAGTAGAAATCAAAAGCAGTTTGAGTAAAAATGGCGAGGATCTTATTGGAAGGAAAATTTAAGGATTATATAAGCTTCTTTATGCTTATCTTTTAAAAACAGAATTAAAAATTTATTGCATTGCTTACAGAGGAAAGTTTAGATTTCCAAAAATTAAAACTTAAATTAAATTAGAATTTTTTTCAAGAAATTTGAAGATGAGCCCAATGTGAGTCGTGTTAAAGTGATTTTGTTCACTTTCCTGAGCGAATTTTCTTTGTTTTTCAACAGAAAAATTAACAAAGTATCTTAATAAAAATGTAAATCATTAAATTATCTTAATTATTATAAGTTTTTTGACACAATAACAAGGGTTCAATTTATATATGGTTCATATTTTGGAATAAGAAAATAATATGGTCGTTTAGAATAAGAAAATATAAAAGAATTGTGGTTGTGTCTGTGAATAGCTTTCCCATTTTGATTTTTTCAATTTCATTATAAATTTTATTCGATATAGCGCCATTTGTTTTGTTCAAAAATACAAATCAGTATAAAAAGAATAAAGTAATTTATTTAAAATTTATTTTTTATTTATATATAACTGTTTACATAAGACGAAATGTCACTCTGGCTGCTATTTTAATTTTTAAACTTTTCTTGTACTAGTTGTTGAATAATTTTTGACATAATATATAATACTACGCATTAATACTGCATTTTGGATGTCAGGCATTTTTACCCGAAAAGTACAAGAATTCGATAAAATGTCAAGAATATTTTTTTAGAACCGAATTAAATACATGTTGAACGTATTTTTAATAAAGAAATTGCATTATGGAAAATTTTTGTTATATATATAATAGCTCCAACAAAAGTGCTAATCTAAAATAATAAATAATTAGTTTTAAAATTTACTTCTATTTTATTCAACTACATTTTTATATTATTATTTTATATTCTCTCTCTCTTTCTTAATACTCTAATATAAAGCATGATTATGTCATTTTATATTTTTTTTTTGTTATTTTGAAAATTAAAAACTATAATAAAATTTTTATTGAAGAATTTGTGAAAACACAATTTTTTTTTCTTCCTGCTTTAAGAAATTCAATAAGAAAAATTTTTACTTTTATATATTTATACAAAAGTTAAATTTTATAAATAAATAGATAAATTGAAATTGTATTGAGAAATACAATTCAAAATTTAAATTCGAAATTCGAAAAAAAATTGTCGAAATTCGAAAAAAAATTCGAAATCCGAAATTCGAAAAGAAAACTTAAGTTTAAAATTTGGAAAATCTTTCACATATTATGTACATACACATTTACATATACATATTCCTACGATGCAAATTGGATTCTAGTATGATAACAAAAATTTGTATAAATTTGGGATAGAAAACTCGAATAAAATATTTGAGTTGAAAATTTTATTTCGAAATAATTTTTATAAATACATCATTAGATATGTAGGTATTATTGTTGAGTTAATAAAGTTTAGAAACAAAAATACTGTTGTATTACATTTAAACAGTTGCATAAAAAAAAACTGTAAGATTAATTTGAGATTCAAGTTTTTTATAATTACATGGTGCCATGGTGGAGGTTATTCTTATAATGAGTGCGTAAGTACCTCAAATTTTATTTATATAATACATTCTCCGCCTCTTATATAGAAAATCACCCATATTCTGATATTGACGCAGGGATATTATTCAAAAATATAAGTATATGGGATTGAAAACTTCGAAATTGATTTTCGTCTGTGAAAATATGGGTGAATATGTATGCAAATTTATATACAAATGGTAAGAATTTCAAGGTGAATAATATATTTAACCAAAAATTTATATAATCGCATCAACAAAATAATTTCAACTATTTGAATTTATTAAATGGAGCCAGGAGAATTTGTGTTTACACTTAATTAATTCAAAAAAAAAAAATAATTCTATTTGGAATTATTTTTAATAATTTTTAATTTTTATTTTTGCCTTATAATATAATTTTTTTTTTCTTTGCTTTATATTTTTATTTTATTTTTCACAAGTGGAATTTCTTTGGATGGTTTTTACTACAATTACATATTTATTTCGAAGAAATTGCAATATTAAAAAAAAAAAATGCCTTCTATACGTATGTAAAATTCTTATATACAGAATTCGATTCTGTAATTTGTTTTTGTTTTTGCTTTTGTAAAAATATACATTATAATTATAATATAAATTACAATTGGAAATTCAACAATTACAGATAGAATGCAATTGTTATATGATTTTCTTTTTAATTTCAAGTATATAAATTTTAAATTTCTAAATTTATGAATACTAAAAGCTAATTCAGTTGCAACTTCTAGAACGTTTTTGAAATTTTTTCATTCGATCAGTCCAATTACTTTTCCATTCCAATACCATAGATCGGGGTCCTAAAATTAAATCACCAGATGATGTTTCTGAATCTTTGCCAAGTATTAAATATGACCTGAAATATAAAATAAATATATAAATATTTTTATTTGAATTTATTATTTATTCTATTATAGTGAATTGGAAATTTAATTTTATATAATATAAAATTACAATAATAATATAAAATTAATCGATTATGCAACAATGTATACAAATGCTTTCATTTATGCAGTTACATTTAATTTTTATTATTTTACGTCTAGCCTATCTTTTACATAAACATAATTTTCGATCTTAAATCTTTTGTAAACTTTGTCTTACATTGTATTTATTGTTAATTACAAATTTAAATAAATTCTTATACACTAATTAATTAAATTTATGTATACTCACTTATTAACTTTTATCCGAGGACATTGACATGCCCATTGTTTAAGTGGTATCGTCCATGTCATAGGACCTCTTCGCCAATATGAACTAGCTGTTCCAGTTGATGGTGAACTTTTCTTAAAAATGGCATTTACATTAACAGCAAATTTGACCATTTCTTCTTGAGTTTCTTTTGAATATGTTTCACTACTTGTCTCTGCACTAGCATCTCTTCCAATTACTTTTACCAAAATTGCTATATTATTAGAGAAATGAAAATGAAATCAGAGACATTATCGAATTTATTTTTTAATTATCATATTTACCATAATCTCTTTTGCAAAATTTATTTAGATTTAGTTTTTTTGAATTAATATCGCATTTCCCACAACCTGAAAAAGATGAATACAAAAATAAAATATATTTATATTGCAATTATTATTAGCGATTAGAAACTTTGAATTTTAGTAATTCCGGGGCTAAAATTTTTAACAATTGAATTTGTCGAATTTTTGATAATAAGAAAAAACAATTCTAATAATATTCTATTTTGTTCTATGTGTGCATTTCAATATTGTGGTAGGTTGTATCATAAATAAAACTCTTTAAAAATAAATTACTCCTATACTTATGCAATCTAAATAGAATTGATGCAATCTAAATAGATTTTATGCTCGGTAGAGCAAAAATAAAAAAATTTTATTAAAAAGGCGCAATTCGGAACTAATGGTACTTTAAAACAGAGATAGTAATAATCCCAAGGGGAAATAAATCACAATAAATATATATAATATTAAGCGGTTCTGATAGCAAATTCACAAGGTAAAGCCAAATTATTCAAAAATCAACTCAATAAATGAGTAGAACATATTGACCACTCGATATTTACATTTATGAGAAAACCAAGGATGAAAACTTAGTTAAAGATTTAAAGACAGGTTGAAAGCAAGACTGTTACTTGTACTGTTTAGTTGTATCTAAGAACAGTAAAATTCATTCCCATATATTAAGCAGGTTTTGTAAGCTCCAAAACTTACAAAACAATTAAGTAGCCTAAATTTTCCAAAATTTTTATATTATAAGTTCGTTAAATTATAAATTTAGTGTTTCTTCCGGGTTCGATCTGAAATGCCAGACATTTCCTTGTAGTTTTATATATATTTCTTTAAGAAATTTATGTATAGTAATCAATATCTTTTGAGTGTAATTAACACTAGGTGCAATTGCCTTTTAATTAATAACAATAGTGCGTATTAATTAATTTATAAATACATAAGAATCACAATATAAATGTGTCTAATTAAAAACGCTGTTTGATTAATTCCTCATATTAATCTTTCATGATTATTTCTACCAATGCATATATCAATGCAAGTGTGCTGTGAAAATATGTGCTTCTCTAGATGTCTAGATCACTATGAAAATTTTTAAAGACTCGGAAAATTTTAAAAATTTTTTTTTATGAGTTTTTTTTGAAGAATATTTACAAAAATAACAAAATTAATAAAAACCGTAACATATCGTCAAATTGCTCATATCAAGCAATCAAACACATTTTTTATTCCTCAAATATTCAATTAAAAAATTAACGTATCTAATTATAAAATTTTGTTTGACACTTATTTACTTTTATTTTGTTTTTATTTTTTGTAGAAAATTTCCATATGGTTTATGATAAGTTTTTCTATTTTTAAAAAACGTTCTTGCATTTTCTTTTCAAAAGTAAACTAAATTATTCTTAAATATAAATAAAGTGATTTCGACAAACAAAACAAAATATGTTGAGTAATTTTTTTTAATATGGTAAAAATTAGTTTGTATAGGAAGCACAATATGAAGTTGTACTACTTATATACACATTGAATAAGTTATTCTAAGATATTACATCAGTATACCCAGCTGGAACATTAAAAAGATGCAAAGGTAAACATAATATTATTATTATGTGCTGTGTACAAAACGGCACAAACAATTCAATAAAATTTACTACACATACTTAATTATTTTACAAAATTATTTTATAAGAAAGATGTTACAGGCACAATTCTGTCTCTTAAACCTACTTAAAATATTAATACGATACGGCAAATTGAATTGATTAGAGTTGGAGAAGAATCAGGTGAGAATTCACAGCGACGTTTTGTCGGGGTTCTGCAAATTTGGAGGGCACCTCAGTGTATTGGCTCTAGAACGTGAGCATACTTGCAAATTATGTGGCAAAGATGAAGCGACCTCAGTATACCATCAGGGAGAGTGTAATGTTCTTGCTCGTAGAAGAACGGCATTACTGAGGACTTTGTTTTCACGGCGAAGAAGTTGCGATCTTTCTAGCCTCAAATCAGTGTCTAAATAAGATTTTTGGTTGAAAAGCCTCATCTACACGCGCTTCGAAAAAAAATCGAACACAATTTCTGTGAAAATTCGTTATTGTTATAAAATATTGTTATAAAAATTCAAAAATATGCGATATAACAATTAATTTATATAAGATCCTTAATTAATTTTAGTATGTTGATAATTTTTTTAATTGAAAATATATAGGTCAGTTACTTTTTACTGCGAAAATAAATTACATAATGACAAAATTAATTTTGAAGACAATAAAAAAATTGTTCACATAATATTATAAAATTATATTTTAGTGTAACAATAAGTTTTTAATAAATTCTTTTAGGTTAAGTCTATCAGTTTCGCCATATATAAAAAATATTTTTCTAGCTACATATTAAATTTGTCTTTACATTTTAGTTGATTTAAGTGTTACGATACAGGCTTTTATTAAAATAAACTCTTCAATTTTTTAGGTTAAAATTTATCTTCGGCACTTCACTAAACAACTTTTCAATATTACATATATATTATTAAAACTCACTCATTTCATTTTGTTTATAATAAAACTGGAAAGAAAAACATTTAAGTAAAAGTTTATACATATTTAATATCTGAGTGTTTATTATATTATTTATGTTTGTATATAATCGTGTGCATACAATTATAAACATGGGGAGTCTGTATATGCATATACAGTGGAGAACACAATTATTTAAACATTATTTTGAAATTTGAACAAAAATTGAAGGGGTAACGCCCAGTATACAAATTATTTCGAAAATGAAAATGCTATTGATGGGTAGACAAAGGGTAACCTACACAAAGTTGCAGTTTCGGGTTTTGATATTTATTGTTTTCGCCAATTTTTCAGGTTTGGGCCATTTGGCTTTCTTAGTTTAGGAAAACCCTCTGATATTGCGGTATGTATCACATAAAATAAAAGAATTTGGAAAATTTTGTTAATATGCCGTAAATATTTAAAAGTCCTGAACCTATATTATTATTATGTAAATCTTGGTTGAAATCATAGAATTGAACATATAAAAAGAAAAATATTGCAAACAAATAAACAGTAATTGTAGTTATAATTTATAAGAAAGCCGCCGAATATTGGTACAATTAACGGGGATTAAAGAATGAGAACTATTTTTGAATGAAATTTCACTAAATGCCTAATTTATTTTCTAAAATTTAATGAACTTGTTATAGGATCTACAAAAAGTCCTTTATAAATTTCTTACTCTATCAGCTCTGTATGTAATTAACATTATTATAATTTAATGTGCTCCTACAATATGTGTAAAAACATAGTTATAATTGCATTTTCCTTAAATTCAAACAATGTTTATTCTTCTCATACATATTAATTGTAAATAGTTTCTCATGCACGCATACATATGTATGTACACACATAATATTAACATACAAGAACATTGTGATATTTTGTAAAGAAGAGAAAAATTAACACTTTTAGATTTTCGATTAGGCATGCATGATTTTATTCAAATTCTCTTTCATTGTTAAGAATTTCCGTCCGCTTTAGATAAAATCTGATATAATATTTATTTTTTTCCCTTATATAAAACAAATATTAATGAAAACTATATCTTATTATTTAATTACATAGAAAAAGGATAAACTAAAGCGAAAATTAATGGAGATCATCTCTTAAATCCTTTATTATATTTTAATCAGTAGGTAAAGGAAATTATCCTATATTAAGGCGATTTAGAGCAATCGATTAAAAAAAAAATTCTAATTTTATGTTATTAGAAAAAAAATACACTTACCTCTCCCTGTAGGCCCTGGTTGCCGATACGATGAATTCTCTTCGCTAGGATCTGGATCTGGTTCAGTATTTTGTGTTTGCATGGCTGTCATGACTTTAGGAATTTCTTTAATTTTTTTTTTATAAATATAAAGAAAATAAATATATTATACGTATGTTTGTATATATGTAAGCATATGAAATGGAAAAATCTTATGTTTTTAATTATTTGGCATTAATACACACATATAAGAGTAATGTATCATATGCCTATTTGTGTTGAAATTCAGGTCTACGATGAAATACGTAAAGAGGGATACAAATGTGAGTCGAATCAAGTATTTCAATGTAATTTTATTCTAACATATTTATCGGATTTTGAACTAAATTAGTGGCAAAAAAATAAAATTTGCATTCATTTATACATGTCCGTCTATCCGCTGCTATTGTCCCTCTATTATCCGAGGAGCTATATAACCCTCATAGCTGATTTTTAAAAATTTTAAAAATTAATTTAAGTGACACCATGCGCGTAGATCGAATGGTATACGGACGGATCCAAAACTAAAGAAGGGGTTGGATCAGGCGCCTTTGGGTTGATGCCGTGCCTTAGGCTGTCCAGAGGCTTGGAGGCGTTTCCAACGGTTTTCCAGGCGGAGGTTTTTGCTTTGGACCTTTGTAATCTAATCTAATCTAATCCTAGTGATTCCATGAAATTTGATAAGAATATGCCGAATTGTATTTCACATGCGCCTCAAAAAGTCAACTAAAATGCTTTTACTTCCACTTCATTTAATTCTACTGCGAACAATTGTGTCAATTGATCTATAATATTATGGTGATTAATTATGGATACCTGCTGGTAATAATTTTAAATTGACTTTTTCTTTGACACTAAATTGCTTGATTGAAAATTGTGGGCGATATATAGTTGAAAGGTAATTTACTAACAATCAATTTTACTAAACAGATTTCTTCCCTGAAATATTGGATTAGCCATCAATCTAACCCCATCATCAACCAATTATGAATTTCCATTAAATAAAAATATAATCTATTTTTTAATTTTTTTTTTTTTTTCAATTTAAATTGATGCTTAAAATTTTGTAGTATTGGCGGATTGCCAAAAATAATTAAGAAAAAAGAAATTGAAAAGAAAACAAAAAAAATTTATGTGGTCAGCAAATAGCCGACCGCAAAGTGTATTGCCTAGTTTAGCGAAAGCGTTGTAGAAGATTATGAAAACGGTTTTCAAATACTTGTTTTAAATTTAAAGGACACCAGTAAGCTTTTGGTTAACATACCTAGAAAAATGTGAATTTGACTTTTAGTAGAATTTCGCTTTATGCCATCCGAATTTTTTGAAAGTTCGCCAGTAACTTCCGGTAGCAAATTAAACTCAAACATTAAAAAAATTCTGTAAACTCAGACCCTAGTTTGGTTCCCGAGCTCTGATATTTCCAAAAATTTTATAAGTTCATTCTTTAACATATTGTTGATTATTTCCCTTTATATGCAAAAATTTCTATTTATATTCCAGTTCTCGGGGCTCGACATATGCCAAAAAAATTTCGTCAAAATCGGTTCGAATGAACTTGAGACACAGACAGACAGGCAGACGTGCACCTACAGACAGACAGCAGACAGACCGATGTCTCCCTAAAAAAAATTTATTTACGCTTCCCTGCCATGGAGAAGTGTGCTTCCACCGAAAACTATGCGAAAATTTAGTGTGATCACATCACCTCCCTTATTGTATGCAATGAGGTCGGTAATTATATCTGCGTGGAATCCAGAATAATTGAAAAAAATTTCAAGACAGACGTACACATAATTATTAAATTAAAAACAATAATTATAATATCTTACTTATACAAGGTGCAATATGTGATCTACTCTGTTGATATCCCCTTGCACATCGATTACACGTTAAGCCAGTTACACCATCTTTACAAGGACACTGCCCAGATGTATGATTACAAGTTTTTCCTGAAGAACCAATGGGATGACATTCACAACCTAAAATTCAAAATTTTTAAAATTTTATTAGTAAAATTTTATAAATTAATCAAAATTTAAGTATTACAAAAATACAGGTTTTAAATGGGAGTTCCAGTCCCTGCTTCTGTTAATTTTACAATTTGAATTTTTCTTAATTCTATTTATTAGTAATTAACCAGATTATAAAATGTTCGATTGACAAATATAAGTAGCATCTATATAAGATGTTAGAAACAAGATATAAGACTGAGATATGTAAGATAAAAGGCTGACTAAGCTTAATTAGGCGCACATAAGGCATATAACAGCAGTGATAATTTCAAGAATACGTGAGAGAATGCACCAGATTATTTTAACTCAAAAATCTTCTGCACTCACAATGATAGTGGAGAATCAGTAACGTACTGATTCTGCACTATCACTGATCAATTATTCTGGATTCTATTACCACTGTAGCTGGAGCTTCTACCTAAATTTCAATAAAATTGCTAAAAAATTACTAGAGGCGCAATTAAATTTCCATAAATTTTTGAACATTAATATTTGTGTATTTTACACTTTTTTACTGATTCCGAAAATCTTTGATTAACGTCTAATAAATCTAAAAAGCACTTGTTTTTTGTTGTTTTTATTTTAGTTTTTTCTATTTTGAAACACATATACATTCATATACTTAACTGTAAGTATGTTTGTACTCATAATTACATAATATCACTGTAAGAATATTTTAGTTTGAGCGGAAGGTGTGAAAAATAAAAAGAGAAATAAAAATCCTTTTGAATTTATTTTTGTTTTTTTTTTTACCGTAATGAATAAAAGTTTTTAACACTGAGCAGACATTCATCTAACAGATTAGCGAGCATTCTATATAGTGAAAGAAAATGAACAAGAGCTGAGAAAAGAATATCAACAATTCAAAACTAAACGGTCAAATATCATGAGAATTTATTATTTGAGATTAAAATCTTGTTGAAAAGTTAAACCGCTAAATAAGAATTATGTCGCGTTTCTGCTTTTTTGAAGACTCCCATTTTTAACATAATAAAAGAATATAAAAAAAAACAAACAAACAGGATTTTGAAATTTTTATTTTATTAATAAATTTAAAGAAAAAAAAAATTAAAATTCAAGCGATTAAGGAAGCAATAACAATAATAAGAACGAGTGTAATACAAATGAACTGTAAGAATGTTGGTAGTTTTAAAATACAAAAGGTTCAAAATTTTGTGAAAATTATTTTTTGTTTCTGAAAGAATTAAAAGCAATCCCTTATAGTTATTATTTGTAATATTCTTTTGCCATATGTGAAAATATCTTACGAAAAAGTATGAGGGTTTACACTGTCATACACTCAAGTGTGTTATGAATAATGTTGATCTTCATTAAAAATTTCTAAATTTTTTTTGAAATCAATATTACTAATTTGATAATTGAGAGGGCGTTTATATTTCTGTAAACTAATGTAAATTTTAATTTTGAATGTATTTTTTTTTTGAAAGATTTTAAAGTAGCCGAAAATCGTAAATTAGCCCCAACACACTTATATGCGTTAATGATTTTTTATTTGACGTAATAAAAAGTAAAGCTTAGACGTATAGAATTTTAATATTTCCCTACAGTTTTGAAATTTATTGATTGTTTTGTTTTAAGTTGAAAGCAGAACAAGAGCGATTTTCGGCGGTGATATGTTAGAATTCATATAGAAAACACACATACAAATGGAAATGCCCTGTTGAATTAACCGATGCAAATTAACAGATGCTCTCAAAATGGTCTAAAATTATATTTTACCGATAGCGTTTTTTTGATATCATCTGTTTCCAGAGTATTACATTGTATAAAAAATAATGAATTACATACAAAATAGTTGATTTTGCCGTTCGGTTGATTTCTGGTTTAATTATGAAAATCGTCCACTTAATATGAAACAGAGCTAATTTTTAATAGTGCAAAAAAAAGATTCGTTGTTAATATTGCTACACAAAGATATTTGCAATCTGTGATATTTTTCATAATTTACAATATTTCAGTTTATTTTATTTATTCTAATCTTTCAAAAATATTTTGACCCAAGTTGTTAAATAACGCATGAAGTACGACATTTATTACTGGCTTACGACATTTATTACTTTCTGGGAGGTGCATAGAAATCGGTATTGTAGATAATTAGGAACCAGTTTCTTACGTCATTGAATTTACTATAGGTAGGTGACGAGCCTACCGTAGCTATATATGGCGGTTAGTGCATATTAATTTTTTATTTTTATATGTAATGGCTATATAATGTTGAATATAATTTTTTATAGTGGCCTAACTGGGCTTTGAACCCTTCAGTTCAAGGACCAGTGCAATAAGCACCGCACCATTGCTGAGATGGTTTATTATTATATTAAATTAAAATCAACAAAAATGTTATTCCTAAATTTTTAAAAATTTATATTATATGTATGAGTAGTTTATGCAACAGTTTGACCCCTTGTTAACCTCCGTTATGGCTAAAGATTTAAGCACTGAACACAGGATATCCTCGTACTGAATAGGTTAGGTAGAAATTATATTTTTTATGTGACACTTCTATATACATACAATTATAAGTTGAATTGCATGTAGCATGCATTTTAAATTTTAAATTCCAATATAATTTTATTAAGAACAAAAATTAAAAATCCATTTTAATTAATTCGATTTTTTGATTTTTTGTTTTTTTAATTTCTATTAAAATTAAAATGTTTATACAACATGAATTTCCAAATTCCAAAAATTAACATTATTCTTTATATAATCCCGTTGGTTTAATATAATTGTATTGGAAATTAAGGTATCCCATAAAAATTATAAGATTTTGATCTTCACATATTTTGTCTCATTTTATGCTATTGCATACGAAATACATTCCTACTTTGTGGACAATGTGTATCTCTATGTATGTGTGCTTAAGTTGTGAGGCGCATCTTGAATTCAGAGTTAAAGATTTTTATATGTACATAAGTTAGGTACATAAATATGTCTACATAAGTATGTACAGGATGGAATTATTATTTGATATTTCATAATTTGATGCTACAAATATATTTTTAATATGCGTTGTTCTTTTTTTCCTCTTTTTTTATTTCTTATCTCAAATTTGATGAATTTTTTATTATTCAAATGACTTCATCAAAATGTTAATTTATTAAACTATTGTCGTTACTTTTTTATTTATAAACATGTACAGTATACATGGGTATATTCCTCATTTTCATCTTCTTTTTTACGTTAACAATTAAAAATTAGAGGCTAATGATTTTATTTTTAATGAGCCTCTTCAGGAAATTATTTTGAATAGGTAACTGTGTTTGAATGTTGAATAGCTACCTGCTTTATCATGACATTCATAGAAGAAATAAACTTTCTTCTTGATGTATAGAAAGAAAATATCTCACGACAACTGAAGTCAAGCCAGTAACCGCTCTCTGAGCGAACTTCCAACCAACTGAGAAGAAATTATCTGCGATTTGGTCTTTACTACATACATAGTAGTCATAATTGCATGTTTTCTTCACTTTCCAACATTCGATCATCATTGAGACACACAGCCACGACCACATGAATAGATTTTATTACTCTATATTCTAGTGATGTTCCACCCGAATGAAAGCTGTCTTTCTAGACCAATGTTACTAGTTTCGTACAGTGTCAAGGATCCACTAAACTGCTTTATATTTCAGAGTGCTCGAGAAAAAATCCCTGGTCGTCCGTAAACTTCTTTTAAATAAATGCACCACCACTGTTCTTCTATAGTTTAAACTTCTATAGTTTATCAATGTGAATAGTAGTATTTAAGCTTACAAGGGACTGAAATGCAAAAAAATTAGGATTACGACGTACTTGCGACGTACCATGCTCTTGCAGGGTGCTTCTAATTTGATTTTATTTCGGAATGTTTCTAAGAATGCGCATTCAATTAGTATTTAAGAGTATTTAAATAGGGCCGCTTAAATGTTGTTAACGTTTTGACTACATATATGTACGTATACATACAATTACACATACATTTTTACATTTATTTGAATAGCATAAACTGGACATTATTTTTTGCTGTATATGAGCACGCAAAACTGAGCAAAAATGGAAATTATGGTCGGTTTTCAAAGCTTGTTTTTTTTTCTCTTTCTTTTTTTTTTTTGATTTATTCTTAGATAAAAAACAGAATCGTTTTTGGATTTCTGATTTATTAATAAAAAATATTTAAGTTTATAAAATTTATTTATGTTTTCAATACTTTGTGTACAAAAATTATGCTCAGCTTAAATTTAAGCAAAATGACTCTAGGTTTCGATGACGCCATTTAATTTTTTTTTTTCTTTTTTATGTGCAATTCAATTTGGTTTTAATTCAATTGAATAAAAAATAATTAAACTCAACCACAAACATGTGATTCATCTACAACATTTAAATATTTTTCCATCTCAGATAACGGTTCGTTTCTCAAATGCCACATTTAAGGATTGTATCGGTGATTCCATTACGGAACGGACTCTGTTTTAGAAAATCTATATTCGAATTTCACTTTATATTCTTTGTATTTTCTAGTTTGTTTTTATTAGCACTATTTCGATGCTTCCCTGTTACTAATTGAACAATGCTTACTTGAAATCGAACATCCATTCACTAAGGCAAAATTAATTACCGGTATAATTAACTTTCACAGAATTACTGTTAATTAAAACCATGTAGAAAATCATAAACTTTAATCAAAGAGATTGAAACCCTAATTTATTTTAAAAGTAAAATTAAGTGAGTTCGAGTGACAATTTACAGTATAAATTATTTGATAAAAAAACAGCTGTTAAATTCAAGTCAGAGCTGCTGCAATATTACACAACAGAATAATCACATTAATGGCTAATTAAAAATTTAATATATTTCCTTCCTTTATGTATGCAATATGAATTTGTAATTGAAATTCGAAATTAGAAGATTTGAATACCAATGAGGTGAGGATACTAAAAGTGACCTTCATTGAATTTAACATTTTG